AGTAACCATTGTTTTTATGGCAGTGATTGCATCTAGTGTTAGTAATAAGCCCAACAATTAAAGAGCAGAAGTAACTCAATAGAGTATTAAGGTACTAACTTTAAAATCTTTGTCTCAACATGCATGGATTTAACTCCCATCAAGCAAGCTTTTACAAGCAGCAGTGGAAGCCGAGCAGTCACATTCAATCTGACAGTGTTGCATTTACATTCATCTGTTGACCGCTCTGACAGGGATCCCCGAGCACTGCACACGTAGTCAGGAGGCCGATGGCTAGCTGCCCACGTTCCCTGGTGGGAGACCTGGTTGATTGTTGTTTACTCTCCACAAGCACTTGATGGCCTATAGGTTACATAATATGAAAAAACTCAGCTCTGATTCTCAGTCCATTGAGTCAGTTCAAATGTGAAGTGGGTTAAGGTGAGTGTGTGTGTGTTGGACAGGATTGTCTTTGTAAAATAGACTATAATGATCTCTGTGTCAATGGCTAACAAGAGACTTAAAAACCATTAACTGTTAAATCCAGAATCGATGTTGCACTGGTATTTAAGACACAGTCTGTGGGGGTCTTCCTGCTTTATAATTTCATTGCATTCAGCAAAGTCCACAAACGTGCAGCGTCTGCGCAGCTATTTCTAGTACAATCTGTTTTCACCATGTGAAGTCTGCACCACAGATAGCTACCAGTTGGGTCGTTGAGTTCTCAGCCCACAGTGTTGATAGATATGAAGTACAAACTCAGCCAAGAACCTAGATCCATTTAGCCTGAGTTCCACTGCCCACCTCTGCTGGTCCCTTGTTGTCTCCAGTAAGGTTTATCAACTTAACAGTGTACCAGCACTTCCTTTAAATGCAGGATTATGACCTGATGAGGGAGAAAAGAAACAGTCCCAGCAAGCTTTAAACAGTGAAGTGGTTGCTTGCAATACCCGATGAGTTTTCACTCTCGTCATGTTGCATGCAGTGGCAGATTGTGGTGGCTGCACTTGTAGTCATGACGGTGCGCATCTCAGCATTTTTGGTGTCAAAATTTCAGCATATTGTTCGCACTGATGTAAAGGGCGCAGCGCACTTTTTAGATAAAGAATCGGTTTTAAAAGTGCATCTTTTACACCAAATGAAACAGTAAGTATACCTACTTCAGAGTTTCCCTGAAAAATTTAATACAGCATTTCTACTCGACAACAACACTGCACATATGATGCTTTTGGTGCGTTCCATTTGATCTAGGAAGTTGGACATTACGATGTGCCAGTCTACTAGGAATAGGAATAGGAATAGGAACCCCCTTAAGTTGGAATTCCTTGGAGCAACTTCAGAACCCCGAATTAAAATCCAACATGGCTGCTACATGCATCAACAGTTATGTTTAAAGGCTTTATATGAGATTTTTCTAACTTAAATATAATATAAATCAAGTATATCCTCTGAAAATAATTCTGTGAGTCATGACTGTCTACAATGGGTGTAACACCCGAGTCCCACTGTCTGTGATGTTTTCAGAGTTCTATCTTCAGTTTGTTTACATCGCCCGGACGGCCGGCTGACTCCTCCCCTCGTGTATAAAAGTTGTTTAATTGAGGGATGAGAGAAAAGAAGAATAACATACTGTACTCACTGCTTAACTGTGTTTCTAGATCACGCTCATTTCAGGTAAATTTACATGCAGTGTGAAGATACGAGCATAATAAAGATCGCTAGCATTAGCATGCTAACACAACAATGCAGGATGGATCTGCTGGATCAAAAAATCGCATTTAAAGCCTTTAAGCTGTACATTACATTGTTAATTTGCAACTTGATCTTGTTGTGTGTAATTAAATCAATCACATTGATGGTATTGTGCAAGTTCCGTCTGTAAACATGTGATGTTATTTTCTTAGTGTGTTATTATCGTCTCGTATTAGCCAACAAAACAAAGGTTCCCCTTGAGGCGTCCATGTTACTTGTCTGTCTTGTTACCAACTCGCAACTGGAACTCGCAACTGGAGCTCTGACATCCGAGTTCCCAGTTAAATTTAACGCACCATTATTCCCTGAATCTTCCTGTTAAACAACTCGAGTGGAAGTCTTCCAGTTATATTATTTCAGATGAGTTGGGATGTCATCCAGGTAAGTTCTATACAAGGTTTCTTCTTTTACCGTTCAGATCTTACACAGAGGTTGTCTATCCAGTGTTAGAGGGAGCTTCTGGTGGTGACCTTTCAGCAGCAAGATCTCAGTAACATTACATGGCCGCTATATGAACAGTTCTCCTGACACCATGTTAACCTCAAAGAAGACTCTGTTACAGTCACATCCACGCCTCTTCCATCTGGACTACACCTGCTCAGTCTAAGATTTAAGAAGATGTAAGAAGTGTTAACTCTTGCTAGTCACTCATCTGACTATTGTAATGGAATTCTAGGAAGCTAACATCAAATTAAAAATCAAACAAAGAGAGTTTTAAGTTTTGTTTTTTTTGTGGAGTTTTTGGTGTTTTATTGAGCTTGTGTAACATGTGTGGGAGTGGGGACCCACATCAGGCTGTGCAAGATGTGGGAGGAGGACAAGAAATGTGTGGGAAACGTTTTGCTGAAGGACTTGACAAAGACTGACACTCACACACAAACTCACATCCATACACACTTCTATTCGACGACTTCCATCTCGAAGGTATTTTCTTCATCTTTGCCGTATCGATTCCTTAAGTCCTGCTGCGCTCCCGCTCCTGTCAAGTAGCTGCAGCTTTACAACCACTGAGCCTTTAATAGCAGAGTAGCATCAGGAATGGGAATAGGATGCTCAGGGACGAGTGGTCGCGTAACGTGTGTGCCCATGTGTGTGTGTGAGTGTGTGTGGGGCATGCTGAGGTATCCCCCCTCACATCACGTGACCATGCAAAACTCATTATGGGAGCTCTAGCAGCCCGCAGACGCTCATACATCACTGTTTTGGTAAAGTAGGAGGGTCAGCGGAGATTGATTAAAAAGAAAAGCACGCTGAGAGGGAGGAAGTATTGGGATTGATTTTTGGTTTCAGGTGAAGGTGTCTTGAGTTTTCTTTACCTGCCCTCTAGCAGCCGGGGTGACGTGACTATATTTACAAACGAGGCGGAGAAATGGACAATAGAGTGAGATGTATACACGTTTCAAGGTCACAGAGGAAAAGACTCTCAAGGAGATGATATTGTGTGTGTGTGTGTGTGTGTGTGTGTAATAATATCCTCTGTGGTTCCCTCCAGCATAATGGATTGTGTGTGTGTGTGTGTGTGTGTGTGTGTAGTTTGTTTGTGCCTGCTCATGTGTCACAGATTTTTACGGGTGAACCCCTTGAATCTCAGCCGGCATTTTAATCACAGAACAACATCAGGCCGACCGCTAGCAGCAGCAGCAGCAGCAGCGGCTTCACCTGGATGGAACGAATCACTCGTGTCGTGTTGTGAGGTGGAGTGTGACTCATAAGCCACCGGGAGTTTACAAGTCCATGATGATAAAGGGTTCAAACTTCGGCTTGTCTTGATAACTTTGAATTTTTGTGTCAGCTTGTAATCCTCTCGCACACAGAGTTTGAAATATTCTAGACATGGAAAAGGTGTCGACCACCTGGCAGCTGTGGTGTCACATTTAAGACCGGTTTAGATTGAAGATCAGAGAAATGACCAAATAGTGATGACTAGGATGAAATATGAGCCTCCAATGACAAGGTAATACCACGAGGAGAAGAACACAATATGGCATAAATCAAAGTATCGGACAAATGTTTATTTTAAATTGGGCTGTCAGCGTTAATCCCAATACGATTGCGGTCCGAAATGCTTGCATACATTTTTTTAATTGCATCATCTGCATAAAACACATGCGGTTATAAGGTTATAAGGCCTAAAAGGCCCAGACTGTATTGTTATTGTTGTGATGGTTTGATAAATGTAAGAAAGTCAGACAGACAGAAGGAGAGACGGACAGACAAAGGATTTTGTAGTCTGTAGTCTTTGCGGTGTGTTGAAGTGCAACTTTTTGCAACCCACTCTGAGGATTTGTTGAAATTTGTTGATTTTCTCACTTTCACCTTTCAAGTGCTAATGGACGTACAGGAACAACAGCAGCGTCAAAGAGCTGAAACAGCACCGAGCTGCTGTGGGGATTCCACTTTTCTTTTCTTTTTTTTAAAGAAATTACTTCAGGTCGTGTTTTCTAATCCAGCTGGGTCCATAAATCAACTCTGAATGAAACGTCCAATCTGACCTGAAGAGAAATTAGGAGGCAACAACAGAGCTGGGATCACATAGAATATTGTTCTCAAAGGTCCTGAGCAGAAGTCCTCTTTTTCCTCATCTGTGATCATTGCAGGTGATGAAGATCTGCTCGTGGTTACTTTGGATTGTCACTGTTGCTGTGATTTTAATGTGACTTCGCTGCGTAGAATCAGCAGATTAAAAAGAGTTACCTGAGGGAGAAAAAGGACATAGACTGTATGGACGCCTCTGCTATGATCGCTGTGCATGAAATTTAACAGTTGCATTGTGTTTTCTGATCGCCAGTATGTACTTCTCTGCTCTTTTGTTTATTGTGATTTCAAACTACACATAGATATAGAGGTAAAGATTCCTGCTTCGTCTGCCACATGTGTCATTCTTTTCCCGTCATGTCTTGAAGTCCTCCTGAAATTATCTACGTTCAGGAGTGCATGTGTGAAAACGGCTGTAGCTGAAAGAAACATTCTTGTAAGTGCTTTACTTTATGTAACAGCTGAAACAGACAATGTGGTAGAAATACTGCTTTATTGCTCTACTTTGATTTGTTTTTAGGTATTTTCATTTTTTCCCCAGTTATTGTTTCACACAATGCTTTGAGGCAGAAAATTACCATGACCAATTCCTGCTAACACAAATAACTGCAGGGCAAGTCTTTATTGTTTTTGCAGTTCTCCATTGTTCATGAGTCTCTCTCTCTCTCTCTCTCTCTTTTGCTCTCTCTCTCTTGCTCTCTCTCTCTCGTTCTCTCTCTCTCTCTCTCTCTCAGTGGGATTCCCGGGAAGAAATGCGGAACCATCATCTTCACAGCCGAGGAGCTCAGTAACTGTCGGGTCAGTATCTGATAATACTCAGGACACTGTGCACCTCCAGGCTTAGACACACACAACACACACTTACACACACACACACACACACACACACACACTTTTGGTTATATTAACAGTCCCAGACAGGGGTCAGGAAGTTAAGCACCGCGGTGTGTATCCATGACAGTCACGTTGTGTATTTTCATGTCTTAACTTTTCACAGTGAATTTAAAATAACCGCACAGACGTCAGAATAATTTTGTCATCTGCCTCGAGTGGACGGAAAGTAAATTTGTACTTTTTGCCTTCAAAATGATGATGAGAGCCGCTCATGAATAATTTATCCCACAGCGGCTAAATAATTAGACACTCCAATCAAAGAGAGAAGCACACACACACACACACACACACACACACACACACACACACAAACATGCTATTACACGGGGCTTTTTTAACATGCAAACGTATGCAGGTACATTCATGCTGGTGACTGTTTGAATAATCAGGAAGCAGTTTCCTGTAATGTATACACCAAATTAAGTTTAACCTCATAATATATCATGCACATGAAGATGAGGGTTGCATCATCACTGCAGGCTGTATAGCATGAATGATGGTATAGTGAGGACTCCTTCAGGGCTCTGTTTACATTCACATTGGTTAGTGATGGTTCACGAGGTCTGTCTCTGGAAAAACATCGCTGGTTAGTTTATCTTCATGGATGAAATGTCACTCGGACTGAAGGACCTTAACTCTCTGCACAAGACAAGTTCAAGTTCATTTAAAATGACAAAGTATTCCTTCTAATTGATTCAAATGGAACCTCGTACAGCGGCGCCTGAAGGATTCAGTTTTATAGTGCGGACGTTAACCATTCCAGTGTGCAGGACACTTTTATCTTCTAGGTTACCAAGTGAGTTACTAGTTACTAGGTTACTAGTGAGAGAGAGAGAGGAGAGCCAGTGCACTCTCTTTTCCAAACAGGTTTAAAAAAGCTGATGTCATCTGGAGAAGCTGAGGTAACGTGCAGTCACTGATGGAGATATCTGTGATCTTTGATTAATCCCGGACTTCAGCTGGCTCACTTTTAAGATTTGTTTTTGGGCTTTTTATGCCTTTTTGGAGAAACAGGACAGTCAGAAATTGGGGAGAGAGAAAGTGCGGAATGACATACGGGAATGGAGCTACAGGTCAGATTCGAACCCAGAACCCTGCTTTCTAGTGCAGACATTAACCATTCCAGTGTGTGTAGGACACTTTTAGCCTCTGTTCATGGGACGGGCGCACAAACCACTAGGCTACGGCTGCAACCTTCCCGTTGTTATGGTCTAAGTGACTGACATGCCTGCTGCACACAAGATGATCATTTTCTGTGATATTTATGGTCTTGGTCTTGGTCTTGGTCTTGGTCTTGGTCTTGGTCTTGGTCTCGGTCTTGATTCGGTCCCGATCCCTAAATGTCTCGTCTCGGTCTCAGAGCACTCTGGTCTGGAGTATGTCTTGGTCTCGGTTTGTGTTGTCTTGACAACACTATTTAAAACATTAGAATAGTTTGAATATGATCTATTCCCTACACTTTTACGATTAAGATTTCAAACCAAAAGTTAACACTCTAATGGACATCACCTAGGTACGATCAAGGTGTCTTAAATAAGTGAAATAACTCAGGTTCCTGCTGCATAAATAAAACATCCCTTGGAAACAGAAAAACCCTTTGGACGACCCTTCCATGTTTGTCCTTTTCCTTAACACTGTTGGCAACATTTTGTTATACATACTACTAGTATCAAGTCACATATCACAATCCTTCATGCAAATCAATCTGAAGAGTATGGATCATGTAGCCTGATAACTTTTAAACTGTCCCAACAGTCCTAAACATGCAATCACCATGTCTGCAGTCTTATTTCTTATTCTGTAAAAAGTGTCCTCCGTCTCGTTAGAAAAGCCGGCCGCTGACCAGGTGGCCAGACGCACACGCCTTATTATACAGTTTGATCTCAAAGGGAGGTCTGCCTTTGAACATTTTGCCCCCTTGACATGTGTGGTTTGCGTAATTTATGGCATGAAAACTACTACTAACTGCTCGTGTCGCTGCTCACTCAAGATCTCAAGACAGTGGATATCCCTGTTGATGGTTTGGAGAAATTTCATTAAAAATTCTGTATTACAAAAACTGAATCTGCAGTTTAAAGGGAAAGTTAGTTAATCTGTAAGTGGGGTGGTATGAGGTATTTGTCCATAGTTAGTATTTTGCCACAGCAGGTGCAGGTCAGTGTGGCTCCTTTAAATGAGAGACCGGTCAGAGTGTTTGCATGGAAGATATTCACCGCTTCAGATGGGGCTGTTTTTACAATTTAATTTAGATAACTTAAAGAAATGTTGGGAGAAAATTCTCAGCACTTCTCTTTTCAGTCGGCAAACCACTTTGATGCACCACGAACATGTGCCTCCGCAATTTGTGTTATCTTACAAGGAAGGTCTAAAAAAAGACATTAACAAGTGGCATCAAGTGCCTATAGTGTGATTATCAGAGTTTTTTCAGAAGCTTGATTGAACAATGATTCAAAGATAAATGCAAAAAATGTACATTAAAGAATATGGCCCGTGAGTGTGTTTGTGTGCTGATATGATTGATTGGATATCTGTCATCAAACTAAAAGCTGATCTTCTATGACTGTAGTATAATGACAGGAATGAGTGAAATTATTTTTTTGTCAGCAGCGAGGGCCAAAAATGTCAAGACACACACAGCTCTGATCTTTTACAATTCAAAACTTACGTTTTTAAATATGAAATCCGAATCTCTGATGTAAATTCAGAACCTTTCTGTGATGTTCTTAACTCCAGCAACAGGCTAAGAGAAACTGTAGGTATTTCCTTCCACTGCGGTCAGACTATCTAACCATCCTGCTCCAAGTAGATCACAAAAAACACTCACACATGCTGGATACCATTCACTTTAAACACTCGTGCAATATTATCAAGCCCTCATATCCAGTGTTTTCAGCCCTCATCCAGTCGCTGAGGCTCTTTATGGACTTCAGGCAGTTGTGAGGTCTCAAGGAGAAAGGCTCTTGTGAAGTGAACTAAGCAGAAAACAGTTTTTTTTGCTTTTAGTAAATGAATTGTGTTTTCTTCCAGGACATCGCCACCATGCAGCTCTGTGCCAACAAGCTCGATAAAAAGGATTTCTTTGGCAAGTCTGACCCTTTCCTCGTCTTCTACCGGAGTAATGAGGACGGGACGTAAGTGTGTGTTTTTCTAAGACGTGTGTGTGTCTGTCCTTCAGCTCAGGTGAAACTCTTCTCTTTCTCTGTTGGATTGCGTTGGCTTCATTTTTCAAGACCGGAGGTCGTTCCTAGGCTCACCAACGCCCGCTAGCCTGGGCGGATGTCATAAACCAAGAAGTTGCAGACATATCTGGAAGGGCGACTTTCGCTTTAATTGGGACTTGTGGCTAGCGGAAAAGGAAGCCTTGGCTGGGAATTGTTAAACGCTAACCGCTGGCTAGACTGGAATTAGGGATATGTTTGCAATCGTTCATAGAGCTATATAACTTTGTGTGACATTGGTGATGGGTTCTGAGATTGCTACAATTCTGCCCTCAGACAATTGAATTTACTAGAAATAGTTGAGCGCTACATTAATGGGAGTAATCAAACTTTCTAGCCTGAAACAATGATGTATAGGGAAAGAAATAGTCTGAATAAAAGAAAAGTGAGAAGTGAAATAAGAAACCCAGTTATGGCGACTCTCCCTCACTTACACTGCAGCCTTCAGTATGTCAGACAGTCCAGGATCAAACCTGTTTGAAACTGTTCTGTACTCCTGCGGTGTATTTCAAGAGCTGCAGAGTCTGGAGGAGCTGTCTGTGAAAACTCTGCCAGAAAGCACAATGTATTACACACATACTCTCTCTACTGTCCGTCCTACCTCCAGTCATTGTGTACTTTTTTTAAAAAACTTTCAGAACTGTCCTCCTCACCATGTCGAGCTGTCTATTTGTTTTTTCAGGTTCACCATCTGCCACAAGACCGAAGTAATCAAGAACAACCTGAACCCTGTTTGGCAGCCGTTTACCATCCCTGTCCGAGCGCTCTGTAATGGGGACTATGACAGGTGAGGACACCGATCAGGGGTCAGAGACGCTGCTGCTTTCAAGAGAATCTCATTATATACTGTATATTTTAAATGATGTTTTCTTCTTTGAGAAACAATAAGTCAAACCAGTGAAAAAACACTGAATTAAATGGTTTTTTTTATGGTTAAAAGCTGTTTTTTTTTCCAGCGCTCATCAGGACTCAAAAGGTTTGCGAGTCGAGCTATGTAGCTACAGCTAACAATGGTCCAGGTGTTTCTGGGCATTTGCCTCAAATTAAAAAAAAGTTCCTTCTTTCAGTGAGAAACAAATGGATCAAGAAAACACCAAAAAGCAGTTACTCGTACTAATAAAGTTACACATCTTTCAGCAAAGTTTTATAGGCTAACAGCTAAGCTGCAGCTAACATTAGCTCAGTGTGTTTCACTGATAACTCAAGATTCAGGCAAACCAAGACAGAGTTTTCAAAACAGCTAGCAGCATTCGTTAGTGTTTATTGTGAGTTTCATCTAAACCTGTGATACTCAACTGGTGGGTCGGGACCCAAAAGTGGGTCGCGAAGCCGTTTTGAGAGGGTCGCAAATGTTCGCCCGAAAAAAACCCAATTGTGTCAAAACGTTTACGGAGAGCTTTTAAAACATGCTTGTTTTATTCAGTATTTTTGTTCTATCATTTCTTTATGTTGTGGTGGTCCAAACCTCCACTTTTTTTCATTAAATAAATCAAATTTGTTGAAAAATATCAGAAAATTTGGGTCACAATTTATCATTAAAGTCTTTATATGTGATTTTTCACACTTAAATGTAATAGAAATCAAGTACATCCTCTGAAAATAACTCTGTGAGTCATGACTGTCTACTGTGTAACACCCGAGTCCCACTGTCTGTGATGTTTTCAGAGTTTTCAGAGTCCTATCTTCAGTTTGTTTACATCGCGAGACAGCCGGCTGACTCCTCCCCTCGTGTATAAAAGTTGTTTAATTGAGGGACTAGAGAAAAGAAGAATAACATACTGTACTCACTGCTTAACTGTGTTTCTAGATCACGCTCATTTCAGGTAAATTTACATGCAGTGTGAAGATACGAGCATAATAAAGATCGCTAGCATTAGCATGCTAACACAACAATGCAGTGCGAGTTGTTTTGGTTTCATGCTGGTGCTCAAGGGTGACATCTGCTGGATCAAAAAAATCACATTAAAGCCTTTAAGGAGTTGGTGGTGGGTCCTGAGGCTAGATCAGTTGAGAACCTAAATCTAAACCATGATCTGCTGCTGAATCTACTGACTTCTCAATATGTCTTTAGTTTGTCAAAATTAAAGTTCCTTAATGCAAAGGCCTGCTGAATATCACGAGAGGTTGGACTCTTTGGTGGTCAGAATAATGCCAGCAGTCGGCCGTGATGTCACTCTCAGGCCAGTGCTGGTGTTATTGAGACCAACATAGAAACACTGCAGCAACAACCTTACAAATCTCTGAACTGTTGTTCCTGCACTGGCCGTAAAACAATCTCTATCTCAGACCAAATCACATTCATGTTTTTAAACCTTACATTCAAATCTTAATTTTTGGACGACAGCCTAAACACCAAGTCAGAATTTTGTTCAGATATTAAAAGAAACAGAGGGACACTCACATGCCTCATGCCTCGAAGACAACAAATATCATCAAAAGTAAACTGAGCTATTTGTGAACATGCTCAGTGTGATTGTGGCACATGTCTTTAAACCCTCTTTTTCAATATTCATCAAAATTATTTAGGCTACTGGCAGCCCTTTTATATCATGTCTTTGTGTTGCATTTAAAGTGTTCAGCAACTTTCAGTGAATTTCAAGAAAAACATCATCTTCCTCACTTCCCTGTGTCGATGTCTCTCCTCTTCCTCTCTGACGCTTCTCTTTCTCACCCTCCTGCCCTCTCTCCTCTCTGTGAATCTCACCTCTGCCTCGTTTATCTCCTCCCCCCCACCCTCTCGTCTCACCTCCCTCCAGGACGGTCAAGGTGGACGTTTTTGACTGGGACAGAGACGGGAGGTAAGTTCTCACTCTCACTCTTTTCTCACTTACTTTTTATTTTCTTTTTTCATTTTCAGCTCAAGATTGAATCCCTCAAATGTCACACCTTCTTCTGTCCTGGGGCCGATTTTCTGTCATATTATATATGATATGAGAAAGCTCCACCCGCCTGGCCTGCACCAGTTGATGAATCAAATGATATTTATAAGCTGAGTGGAGTTGACCTGAAGGTGACAGCAGGTTACTATCTGGGTTTCCTGGGCTTAATTGGAAACCTCATATGGGACTTTTGTGTCACTTCTTTCCATAAAGTGAAGTTAAGATTCATTTGATATTCATGTGGTATTTTTACAAATCCCCAGTCCCAGATTTCCAAATCCTTATCCTGCGATCTGCAAGACAGGAGGAGACTCAAAGCAAATGTTTGTCTGTCATTGTTCCAGTAAAGTCTTTCAATCTGACACCGTCATCAGGCGCTAATTCTTTTGCATATTTGAGCAGTCAGTCTCTTTTTCGGGGTTGTTAAGAGAAGCTTTGTCTTTGTACAGTAGGGTACATCGCACCTAACTTCTAAAGGCAAGTAATTAGAAGAGATTTCAGGCATTAACTTTGAAACTGGGACATGATTGTGTCAAAATAAACTCCTGTGTAATCACTCAGCCTGTGAGTGCATGAGCTCGGAGACTGTCGTTTAACCCAGCATGAGAGCTGTGTGTTCTCTGTCTGTCTCTGACTATTAGTTTGTATAGTTCTCATGTGCTTTACATGGGTTTTTACGACCACAAACAAGTTGGGACGTTGTGTAAAATGTTCATAAAAACAGAATATGACTGCTGTGGATCGTTGGTAGTTCAGGGGTTCGATTCCCAGCTCCTGCAGTCACATGTCGATGTGTCCTTGAGCAAGAAACATAACACCAAATTGCTCCGTCTGTTTTTTTTTTGTTGTGAAGATTTTTTTTTTTTGACTACAGAAGAAATGTTCTCTTCATCCTCAGTGATGGCTGTCAGTGGAAAAAGTACAACACACACCTCAAACTCTACATTCTCATTTAAAGGTACTGAATCATTTAAAAGTCCTAAGCCAGTGCCACCTTTTCTTTGAACAGCAAACACTTTTGACCTTTAGTTTGAAGGTGGAAAATGTAATTTTCTCTAAAATAAAAATAAACCCTACTGCGCCATACACAGACGAGAACCTTTTTTTATACACTCAGTATTCCTTAAAGGTCACATATTATACAAAATACACTTCACCATGTTTTTCTAACTCTAATATGTGTCCCTAGTCTGTCTATAAACCCCCCAATGATGAGAAAAGTCCATCCTCTCCGTCTTTTGTCTGCTCCACTCTTCAGAAAATGTGTGCTCAAACAGGCCGTTTGGAGATTTTCCCTTCATGACATCACAAAGGGCAGTAGCCCCTCCCCCAGGTGGGTGACAATCCCACAGCTAGGTGTTTGTTCTGCCCTCTGAGTCTGCCTTCTCACCGTAAACAAGAGGACATGGAGCGAGAAAGCCTGAGCCACCCAAGCCCTTCCAGAGAGGGGGCGTGGTCAGACACAGCTCATTTACATATTTAAAGGTACAGACACAGAAACAGCCTGTTCTGAGCAGGGCTGAAATAGAGGGGTTTATAGACATGATCAAATACAGGATCAGAGTGGATTTAGAACAAGAATCTTCACACACACGTTTTGTAGAGCTCTGAGACTTATTCAAACTCAAAGGAGGAGAATATGTGACCTTTAAGAATGTAACTGCTTAAACTGAATGTTAAATGTAGATGTCATTGTCTTATGACATGCAAGAAGGAAGATGCTTTAACACTTATTATCACTCACAACCTTCTTACACTTATTGTATGTCTTCTTTCGTCTCCCGTGCTCTATTTCATTCTTTTCTCAGACTGTCTTTATTTATCCACACATGTTCTTCATGACTGCTTTGTTTCAGTTTTCTCTCCTCCCCCCTCTCTTATATTTTACCCTCCTTTTCCGCCCATTGGGAGATGCTCCTGGAGGATTTCCCTTTAAATACCAGCATTAAACAGGCAGTGTAGCTTCAGGTGATGCACTGAGCTGCAGAGATAATCTGAGGGCATGCAGGAGATGATATTTATCAGTGAGAGGATGCTACAGGGTATTGTTTTTTTTTTTTTTTCATGTTGAGATGGAAAATAATGCGTCGAGCTGATGAAAATCTCATTTTTCTGAGGGGCCAGAGTTTCACGTGGGTCACTGTTGTATTGCAGATGTAGTATTGCAACAGATGTAGGGTTCTCTTCTTTCTAGGGTTCTTTGTAGGGTTCTTCTTCTCCTTTGTACTTACATAGATTTATTAATTACATCAAAATGAATGAAATGTTGAACATTAAACAGAGGAGAGGTCAATCTGAAAATAAAATGCCTTTTTACTGAAAAGATCATGAAATAAAAAGATGAGATGGAAGTGTGCTTATGTTTTCTTATCTAGTGACAGTGCCCCCTACAGGGACGTGTTTTTATCAGGACTACTTTGTACACAAAAAGGAACAGACACTCCAAGAGTCAAGGTGTTTCAAAAATAGGAATAGTAGGAATCTGTGACAGTAAACATCAAATTAATCAAGCACAAACCTTTGTTTACTTTATACTTTTTAAAAATGTATTTAATCTATTTTAGAGACAGGACAGTGGATTCAGAGAGAGAGAGAGAGTGGGGAATGACAAGTGGAAAAGGGGCCACAGGTCGGATTTGTAACCGGGTTGCCCGCTCTTGAGGAGATAAGCCTCTGAACATGGGGCACGCACACCAACAAGTCAGCTAATGGCACCCCACTTTCTGCTTCCTTAATCCCAGAGGGGGAAATTCAAGTGTTTGCACTCTGTTATTGAGAGACATGCTACTCCAACAACAAAGGCCTGAAATACAGACATGCACAAACTGGACCTGTGGACATGCATTAATGAAGAGATGTCAGACTGGGGCTGCTACACAGGGAGCAAACCAGAGCTGTTGGGTTTTCTTTGCCTTGCTAAAGGGCACCTCGGCAGTACTCAGGAAGTGACCTGGCACCTCTCCAGCTACCAGACCAGCCACCATATTTTGGTCCTTACTGGAACTTGAAACAGTGATCCTCGGGTTCCCAACCCAAGTCCCTGCAGACTGAGCTGCTGCTGCCCCCAGTGGACGTTTTGTGTGAAAGTTAAAGCTATCATGATAACGTCCACACTGTGAGTGGAATGAAAATCTTGTCTTCTGATCCATGGTGTTGCGTGTGTTGGATGTTTAATGAATACAGGAGTTAAAGCTTTAAATGCTGCCATGCACAACACTCAATCACTGATTGATAGAGATTGTTTGATTGGGGTTAGCGTTAAAACTCCCTGTTCAGCATTACACTGCCTTTTAAATATGGAGACCAGAAGAGCTGAAAACAATCCTAACTTTTTAATTTACACTTTATAGTCAGATTGTCAGATACAGACAGTCTCCAGCTGTGTGTTTCTGTTTTGATTCACACTAAAAGTTCCTGAAAAGTTGAAGAGTCTGAAACCTCAATGGCTTTGGATGAATGGCTACATATTGTTTTGGATTATAATTATCCCACTGTTACTATCACGGCTTTCCACGTGACAGAAAGAGCTTCAAGAAAAGTAAGGCCTATTTATAATTTGTGTGGGACCGGAGCTGCAACTCCTTCTTGAGTGTTCTGCTGCTGCAACACTTTCAGCATGAACATCAACTTCATTAACAAATTAGACCGACGTGTTTCGGCTTGTGGTCTTCATCAGGGTCATGAGCGCAGTTTAGCATTGAAGAGCTGAAACACGTTGCTCTAATTTTTTAATTCTGCCCTTTTTGGGGTTCTTATATTTAATCTATGTACCTACTTTTGTACGTTCACAATAGCTAAAGTCTGAAAAAAGTGTCTGTTTTCATGAACTGCTCCTCCTTGCTCCCTCTACGCTCTGAGTCCGTCAGCTACACTCTGTTGAGCCCACACTGTTAGACCCCACGTGGGCCAAGTCTGCTCTGATTGGTCTGCCGATCCGCTCTGTCGTTATTGGTCAGTTGCTCGGCATGCGTCTCGGAAATGTCAACATGAGCTGCAGGGCTTGCCACAACGAGCCAATGGGCTTAGATCAGTGATCTCACACTGACAATGATGTCACACTGACACATTTTTATCGAGGGGGGCTAGAACCGAGCGTTACATGCGGCTAATGCTACAGCTAACAGGAGGACGTAGGAGAAGCCGCGTTTCCGCAGACTTTGAATTTTTGCACATAGATGTGCCTAACATGCACAGGACACTTGGAAAACACACTAAAGAGCATATAAAACAAGAAAAAGCAGAATATGGGACCTTTAATAGAGTTGATCTTCATACTCTAACTGTTGCTGGACCTTTCACTCTTCATGCACTTCGGTAGAGTTGTGCCAGAAAATGTCAGAACTGAACTGGGGAAAAAGGAGTGTAAGTTTGCTGCTCCCTTTACTTGGAACGAGTTACAAACAAAGCTGGGACTTAACGAGCTGCTCTGATTGGATGCTTTTAAGAAGATGTTAAATGACCTGGAGGCAGACAAATGACACATCTGGCTGCAGTTATTCTACCTGATGTGTTTGTGGATGATTTTGACAGATTTAATATTTGTGTCTTTTAATGTCTAATGATGTTGTATTTATATGTTTGGCTGCTCTTTGTTTGTGTGAAACTCTGTTAATTGTGCTGCCGCCTGTCTCGACCAGGACACTCTTGAAATGAGATTTTTAATCTCTGAGTTTCTTTCCTGGTTAAATAAAGGTTAAATAAAAAAAAATACATACTTTCCTTCTCTATTGTTCTGCTGCAAAATAGTGAATGCATTAATTGTATGTTTTCTGTAAACGTTTACAAATCCTGCAGCATGCTCTGATTTTGGTTCAGTTATCTTTGCTATCTTAAACATGTTGCTGATGTAGTAAAACTGTTCTCCTCTCCCGATCAATCTTCCTCCAGCCATGACTTCATCGGAGAGTTCACCACCAGCTACAGAGAACTGTCCAGAGGCCAAAGCCAGTTCAACGTCTACGAGGTAAAAGTTGTCGTAGTGAATCAGCAAATAAAGAAAAAGGAATCCAACTTTCCTCAATGTGTAAAGGATATAAAAAATTCAACCTTTTTCTTTTTTTGTGAGCTTGCAACAACATCACCCGTTCGCTGACAGTGTTATATATTATTCATCCAGGTAATAGTTTGCATTATAAATTATAGCACATTTTGAACAGTTTATCATTAGCTACCAACCCGAAACATGCCGACGTGAGCGTACTGTCGACACATTCCTGCTCAGACATATACGCTTTGAAAACTGATTTGTTGTTTTCCTGTTTTTGTGGTCAAGGTGTTGAACCCTAAAAAGAAAGGCAAGAAGAAGAAATATGTCAACTCGGGGACGGTAAGACTTGTTGTGTCAGCAGATGATGAATGCAGAGGACACAAGACGTGCAGTATTTAACATCAGCCTCCTTATGATGCTCTTTATCCTTTGCTCTCTCTCTCTCTCTCTCTCTCCTCTAGGTGACTCTCCTGTCCTTCAAAGTGGAGTCAGAATACACGTTTGTCGACTTCATCAGAGGAGGGTAAGAGCTCAGAGTCCGGTCATGGCTCCCATAGTCAGATCACAAACACTTTGGTCCGTTGGTTTTTATGGAGTAGGAGTGCAAACTAAAGGTAAAATTGGTGACTTTTGAGAAGATACCCCGTAGATGTCGTTCTTTAGCACCGGTCTCTCAAATCAAAACAAAGCTTTCCCTTCAGCGCACCGCCTCCCCTCATCCTCCCTTAGTGGTTAAACTTAGATATTATCATTTAACTTGAAAGTACAGAAAGCAGGCCTGTGCCGGACTAAGGGTTTACATGGTGAGTCTGATTCGTCAGATTTAGCCTTCAGTCTACTGACAGTGGAAAGTTTTGTTGTTTTTTGAGCTCATTGATCCACATTCTGATTTAAGTTTAACCACATCATTAAATACCAATTGATTCTGACAGGACATCGTTTTTCTAGCTTAGTTTGCATTTAACGATATTACACATGTCCAATACAGCAGACACACAAACTGACGGCCTTGTGTGTGTGGGCGGTCCAGTTTCCGAGTTGGGAAGACGTTCTTCCGACTTCAGTGTTCACATGATTTCAGTACGGAAGTCTGACCAACGAAATCGTTGATTACTCGGCTCTTTGGGATCAGCCCTAAAACAAAGAACATGTTATGTAGTTGTAAGATTAAAACCAACATACTTAGACGATGTTCTGCCTGAAGTAGTCTAAAATAAAGACGTGGCGGGGGACAGCGATTATTAATGAAGAAACATATTGTTTCAATCAGTGAGGAGATCCCCTGCCTTGTTCTTTATAGTGACAGCAGTGAGCCACTGATGAGTTTTTCCGTCTAGTCTGAGCAGCTGTGAATGTGCTCCCATCTGGTGATGCTGGCACAGAACTAACATCTCTGTTTCTTTTGAACGATGCTGATGTTCTCCATCTCTTTCCAGAACACAACTCAATTTCACTGTGGCCATAGACTTCACAGCATCCAACGGTACGGCAGCTTTTTTACATCATTTCTGCATGCAGGAAGTGTCCACACGTCTGTGTTGTGCTTGTCACAGATATCACTTCCACTGTCCTCTCTTATGGGTTGATTTTCATTTCGGTTTGTCCTCTTTAATATATCTGCAGTAAATGATCTTCACTGAGCAACTTTCTTAGCCAAATACATCTTTGACAAATGCTTAATTTCTCACATATAAGTCAATGTATCCATTACTGATAGTAGAGTGGCTTTGGAGAAAATGTTTGATTGCAACATTCACGTCGCATATATCACAGCCGAGGTATAAATAACTTAATGTCCACTGTGGTTGATTATTTTTGTGTCCTCTAGGACTTTGTTAACGCAGAAATCATTTAACAAATGCATCAAAACAATCCTAAGTTACATTTCAGGAAAAAACATAGGAGGTGGACCCAATTCCAGAAACCATGCATTATTTGTTTAAACCAAAAGTCAAAAACAAGGCTGACTTCTAAAAATGTCCAACTAAAAATAATCCCAGGAATCCACGGGGAATCATAAGGAGAGAAACTGGAAAGATGACGACCAACATAGACTGACAACTAACAAAAATATTTATTTACCAAGAACAAGGTAAAAGGCAAACAAAAACGAAAACAAGGAGCCGTCAGGAAAAACAAAAGAACCACTAGTATCCGTCTGGCATGCAGAAAATCTAACAATGAACTGACAACAAGAGGGCGGGAACACTGAGACTAAATCGACACAGTAATTAGACACAGGTGAAGACACTGAGGGCAATCAAACAGGAGGGAAACACACAGAGGCAGGAAGAAATACAAGAAACACTCCGAACTATAAAATAAATCAGGAAACACTGAAGAAACACTGAGAACTCAAGACTGTAACAAAACTAGAACAGAGAAACATTAAAAATTAAAACTGGAAGAAAAAACAGACTAAACTAGGAAACATTAAGACAAAAAAACATAAAGGAAACAAGCAACACTAGACAGGAAGAAGATTAAAACAAGGAAAGCTAAACTCTGAAATAGACAAAAATACTAAACTAAATAAGACTTTATCACTCCTTTCAGAATGTCACTGGTTTTAAATAGTCACCATAAAGTCAAAATAAAGCAAAGTGTAATTAAAGCAGTTGAGAAGTCTTGTTTTCGTTTCCATCATGGTGGTCCTGTTGCATTTACTCTCTAAAGAAGAATCCCCTTCCTCAATTCAAAACCTTTATTTTAGCTGGAAAGACACTGAGGGCTCCGTCATTTACAGTGACATCGAGCTCTCAGTGGAAAAGCGGGGACACAAAAAACAACAACGCTGAAGTAACGGACGTAGCCACAGAGTCCGACAACGACTTTTTAATGAGAAAATGTACCTTTATAGCAATGCTATGTGTAGTTCAACGGAATGACAATATCAACAAAAGAACGGCGAACAACATACTGACAAAATGAAAACGTAATGCAGTCGTTTCATTACGTGCAAGGAGATCGTAGTGGTCGCGTGCAGACACTCAATGCACCGTGCAGCAGTCACAGGATATAAACGTCACTCCCCCCTCCCATTAGCTCGAGGTGAATTCTCCGGATAATATCCTGCTGCGTTCTCACAACAGCTCACTCGGACTTGCTGCGCAACAAAAAACCACTCGGTGGTCTGGCAGGAGAAACTCCAGGGAAGTCCAAACTAAAAAATGTGGCTGTTTGCGTTCACACATACAGCTCCTCCAGGGAATATCAGAAGCTTTTCAGGAGATTTCTGCAAGTGTGAAAGCATTGTTAGTGAATCAGGCCCTCAATGTGAAACTTTGCTGGTTAAGAAATGTACACAAGCTGTTTCTGACTGCTTCTACTGCTTCCTCATAATCCACTCTACAGTATTCTAAAGTTACGCTGATGATGTATTAATATTCTTGCTGTGAGTTTGGCTGCTTGTGCAGGTCATATAGAGACAGCTCTACTCGAGCGATCCATTACTGGTTTCAAACTCTCCACATAATTCAAACAGAGCTGCAGAATGAGACTCACATCCATATAAGCCCTTCAATCTACCGAAAGGAGAATGCAGCGAAAGGCTATATATATGAGCTGAATAAGTAAGCACTCAGTATCAGTATCCATGGTGATAGGTGTTTTAGTCCTCATGGTGTTTTTTTTTTCCTTATTATTGTCACTCTGTCCACCTATACTGCAGACTTCATTATATGCAAGCGAGTTGACAGAGATGAGTTATAGAGCTGTACTCAGATTTTCTTCAATCAGGCACAAAAAGTCCTCCAGCAGTGGATATCTTTATACCAGGAGACCTGCTGACATCATGTGAGGCATGTCATTCTGCTGAAAAATACCAGAGACATACAATCAAAGCCCTGGAAGGAGCTAGTTATTTTGCCACACTGCTGTAATTTGAATTCAGAGTTAATATTAACAGACGATATATTTATCCACTGAGTGAATTTAGAGTGAAGGCCATGACGGATATTTTGGTGCATATTTGTTGAGTTTGTGTATCAAATGTAAGATGTGTTGGCGGTAAAAAGTTAGTGAAAAAACTTGTCTTCTTTAGGATTTAATAAATTAATAATAATGGCATAATAACTTAATTTATAACACCTTCAAAAACAGATGTTTGAAAAGTGCTTTGACGGACAAAGCAAAGGCATGAACTCGTCAACACATCAACAGTCAGGCCAAACAAAGAGAAGTCTGCAGAAAAATAATAAAAAGGCAAATACAAGAAACAAGAAAAGATACTACAGGCCGGTCTCAAAAGGCGTTCAGGCTATGAAGCAATTAAACAATTAAAGAAAATTAAAAACTCAAGAGATCACATCACAGGTAATAAAAACACAACTGAAGATGAAAACGAGTGAAATCAAAGAAAGCTGGTTAATGTAAAAAAGCAACAGAGGACAGAAGAGTCAAATATGAGAAGAAGGATTAAGAACAGATAAGAAGATTAAGAGCAATTAAAGGACTAAAGGAGAGGATACAAGGCTTGATGAGGAGTCTTATTATTTTTGACTGTAACTGTTTGGGCCCCGTTTTAGATATTTCAAAAGTGATGCAAAGGAAAAAAAAACACAAAAATATTTGACCACTTTTATTGAATATTCTGTTTATTTTCAATGCAAACACAAGCGATGTGCAGAAATGAAATTGAAAATGAAATGAAAATTCAGACCAAAACTCAAACACGTGGCTTCCTGTTTTATGGCTGAATTGATTGTTGTTTATGAAAAGGTAATGTTAATGCATGAAAAAGGTTCAGAGTGATAATAAATATTAGGTGATACATCAGTCTTCTTCATTTGCCATTGATGTAAACTGCAGAGAAATTCCCCTTATCAGATCAAAGACAATTCATCTTCATCTTCAGGTTTTATAAGACCTTTATAATTTAAGATCCTGTTGCTTTGTGTGTGTGTGTGTGTCACTGTGTGTGTTTGATGTGGTGTGTGTGTTTGTCCTCTCTCTCCAGGTAACCCCTCTCAGCCCACCTCGCTGCACTACATGAGTCCGTACCAGATGAATGCGTATGCCATGGCTCTGAAGGCCGTGGGAGAGATCATCCAGGACTACGACAGTGACAAACTCTTTCCAGCGTACGGCTTTGGAGCTAAACTTCCCCCAGACGGCAAAATCTCCCACGCCTTCCCCCTGGTAAGAAACACTCAAAAAGCTGTTTTCACAAAATGCAAAGGAGAAGAATGTGGCTGTTTGCGTTCACATATACAGCTCCTCCGGGAAATATAAGTTTCCCAGGAGTTTTCAGTATGAAGTGTGAAAGCCCTATAAGAGACAATGAAGTGTAGTTTTGTTTTCAAATGAAATCCAGTGAAAAGGTACTTCTGTTTTTGGACTGGATACTGGAATCTTCCATCCAATCTACAAGTGTTTTTCCCAAGCGCACGTCCGTCTGCAATAGCAGGGAAGCAAGTGAACCTAAACTGGCTTTTTTAACAAATTCTGTATTTTTGGTCTGACCTTTGGCAGCTCTTTCCAAACCACTGCCTAGATGGGAAATGTGTCCATCTGTCGTTTGAAAGGTTTCGATGACTGCTGACCCATATCTCTGTTGCCACAGCAGCAGCCGACATCGTGCTTTACACACACTCACACACACGGACACACACACATGCAAAAAAGGAAGGTCTGACTGAAGCACCAGATCTCAGACAGACACAGTAATCAATGAGCTGGTTGATGTATTGGAGCGCTGAGCAGCTAAAGAGCTACACATTTATCTGCAGACGTCTGTGGAGTAAAGAGAGTTTATAGAAAGTTCCTATTCGATTTATCAGGTGAATACAGAGATGTGATTTATCTCGAATACACCGTTAAGAATAAGCAGAACAATGTGAGGACGAAGAGGGAACAATTACACATCAGTTTGGCACACTGATGCATATGACTCTATGTCTGTTTCTTATCATGGATTGAGAGCCAGTGTTCAGCTTGCTCTCCAAACAGCCCGACAAATGAATGAAGTGTTTTTAGATGCACATTTCAAAAAATGTTGTAGAAGGGAAATATCCAGAGTGCTTTGTCATCTGACACTAACATGAAACATGGCCACTTGAAATGTATCTGGGGCAAAACAGGCAACTATCCCTTCGTCCTAAATACAGTTTAAACCAAGAGTCAACAACCAGTGTGAAAAAATGAAGCCGCTGTGAAACTGCAAAATCATGCAGTTCAACAAGTGTCCACTAGAGGCTTGCTGCTGAAGTACCAGAAGTCACATACCGCATTCAAAACAGCCAGCAGAAATTAACATGTTTACAGCCTGGTACAAAAAAACGAAAAAGGTCTGATTAGCTCATGTCTCTATCGACGTGTTGTCCATTATTAGGCGTGTAGCTGACCTGATTGACAAGCGGGCACGATATAACGGTTTGTCAAGAGGCTTAAGACCCTCCTTAGCTCCAGCTCCAGCCTGTGGTTAGGTTGACTGAAAGTTAGGCTGAGACAGGATTTCCTTCATGGCGACCTCCATGGATGGGACTCCTGCAGAAACAGATGGTGACGTCACTCAGGCTTTGTCCATTATTATTTACGTTCTATGGTTTCGTCACTTTTTTTTTTTTTTCAGATTGCATCATGTGTTCCCCATGCAAATTTCTAAATGAGTTGGCCAAGTTCACTTAACTACCCAGTGGATGACAATAGAAGAGGTCAGACTGTTTTCTTGCTGTGATCCCAAGAATTTTCATATGTGGGACCTGGTTTTATTTGATTGATGGATGCACTTTGCCTCACAATGGCCACATGGAGCCATATAACTCAGGGCGTTTTTTTTTTCATGAAAGTTAGGGTTACATAAACCCGCAGGCTGTAGGCATTGTGGAGTAGTCTTGTGAAGTGGATGACAGAGGCGTAGGAAAGGAAGAAGAGGTGGGTGGAAGAAAACATTATGAATCACATTGCATGTTGAGAAAAAAAAAGTTGATCTGTTTGATGGTATTGGAGCGATGGAGAGAGAATAGTGAGCAGACAGACAGGCAGAGAGAATCTGATGATGCACCGCTTTGCTTTGTCAGCCAGGAAGACGGCAACAATAGCAATTTGCAAAGCAGCAAAATGCAAAAATAATCCTTGGTTTACAAAGGACCATCTCCCTGTACAGTTACTTTTTAAGGAAATTAGGAGAAAAGTGGGTGGGGAGGAAACATGAGAAGGAGGGACTTATACATCTGGTGCTGTTCCAAGGCTGTGGGATAACATTGGTGGGATAAAAATGAGACCAAATCTTTTCAAATGAGTGTAAACTTCACAATGTCACGCATCAAAGTCTTTCATTATTGCTCTGGACTTTTATTCTGACCTGAAACTGTCGTTTTTTAATCAGGTTTTGTCTCCAATGCCATGATCGTGTAGGCTCCATCCCGGTCAGGGCTCAGTGGGGACGGGAGCATCGGCATCTGGCCTGTCGGGGTTCATTGCTTTGTACAACTTTGCACCCTTTCCCTGTGAGCGGCCGCTCAATCAGCTTTCCCAATTAGAGTTCACCTCGGCGTGACAAATCCTGCCGCTGTGTCATGCCAGGGCGACTCTAATTAGAAATCTTGTGTTTGGAAACAGCTTGGAGAGAAATCAGAGTTTGTCAAATGAAAAGTTTTAGTATCTTGTCTCATAATATATGACTTAAAGAGAAAGGATCACGAGTACAGCATGAGACAATCAGCTGTATGGTGAGATAGGTTGTGCAAAAAGTCCTTTTAAAGCTCCTTTTAAAAGGTCACATATTATATAAAATACACCTCACCATGTTTCTCTAACACTAATATGTGTCTCTAGTCTGTCTACAAACCCCCAAATTATGACAAAAGTCCATCCTCTCCGTCTTATACCTGCTCTACTTTCAGAAAATGTGTGGTCAAACAGGCCGTTTGGAGATTTTCCCTTTATGACATCACAAAAGGCAGTAGCCCCTCCCCCAGGTGGGTGACACTCCCACAGCTAGGTGTTTGTTCTGCCCTCTGAGTCTGCCTTTTCACTGTAAACAAAAGGGCATGGTGCAATAAAGCCTGAGCCACCCAAGTCCTTCCAGAGAGGGGGCGTGGTCAGACACAGCTCATTTACATATTTAAGAAGGTACAGACACAGAAAAAACCTGTTCTGATCAGGGCTGAAACAGAGGGGTTTATAGGCATGATCAAATACAGGTGTTACGGTTCAGTGTGTAAAACAAGGGAGGTGGACCCAAGTGCAAAATAAACTAATAAAACTATTTATTTAAACAAAAAGGCAAAAACTAAAACTATCTATCAAACTGTCCAAACTGAGAAAATCCCAAAATTGACAAGCACTGAGAAACACTCCAACATACAACAAACGCCACTGGCAACTTACAACAATGAACTGACACGGGAAGGTAGAAACACAGAGACTAAATAGACATAGGGTAATCAGACACAGGTGAGCCCAACAAGACACAGGTGAGGACAATCAAGGCAATCACACTGGGAAACACATAGAGGCAGGAATACAAGAAACACTGAGGACAAACTAAATCATGACACACAGAACTCAAGAATCTAACAAAACACACTAGAACACAGTTACACGAGGATAATAAATGACAAAATAAAACAGAAAACACTGACGACAAAACTAGGAAACACACAAGGGAAAAACCAGCAACACTAGGGAACATTAACACACAAGGGAAACCAGCAACACTGGGATAAAACAGGGAAACTCAAATACAAAACCAAATCATGACAACAGGATCAGAGTGGATTTAGAACAAGACACTTCACAGACATGTTGTGGGGAACTCTAAGACTGATTTAAACTGGTTAAGAAGGAGTATAATATGTGACCTTTAAACTGGTTATGAAAGATTGGAGGGGGGGGGCATGCAGCTGAAACTGCTTTTTAGTTTTGTTTTTGTTTTTTTTTGGGTTGAAAATCAAACTGCTTGCACAACTCAGGATACGAGTAGCATAATGATAAGAAGTACCGTTGTTCACAGGGGTCACAAACATTGACACAAACCAAATGTTCCTCAAAGGAGGAATCCCTGATACATATATCAGTCAGAATAATGAATTAGTGACGATAATGATTAGAGTATCTTAAGTCCAAATAAAGAACCTGAGAATGTAATCTGACATTTGCACTTTAAGACTTTAACTTTACTGTCATTTAGAAATGTTCCCTGATAATTTGACACTGATTAACTGCACCGCTTATATACAGTATAGGTGCCTAATTAACACCAGCGTTTTGAATCTGAATATAAGTTGTGCTTAAACGAAATATGTATAATTAAACAAAACTTTAGTCCCTGAGGAAATAATTAAAAAGTTATCTCAGGCAGAGCGCGTTTGTGAAGCTGCCAACAGCTTTTATCAGGTTACTGCTAAAGAAGCACTGATTTGTGTTTTGTTGTAATATTGTCTTATAGTTGGATGATTTGTAGATGCAGAATATTGTAAAGTCTGGCGATGACTCTTTTTTTTATGCCTTTAGTGTAGAGGACAGTGGCTAGAGTCGGAAACAGGGAGGACAGAGTGGGGAATGATCTGTGGTGAACCAGTCAAACCCAATGTAAGACTGACCCTCTGAGCAGACCAAACCATATAAGGAGGCAGAGACAGAAGATTGAGCAAAACACAAATGTGGGCATTTATTTTCCATATTTACAGTAAAATTCACAATACCAATAAAAACCCGGGGCGCTTGAATGGCATCAAACCCTAAACAGACTAACCCCCCATGAAAAACAGACGCCCTTATATAGTCCTCTCCCTCGGGTGCTATCACATGCACAGGGGTGCTTTTAAAGTGAAACAGTAAACCAACAAATAATAAAACTCAACATCCGTAAATATATATGATAGAAAAATATTGACATGATGATTAACGTGTCTTAAAATAAATACGCAGCTAGCAAAATGTCTGATAAGTATACTTCCCACCCCCATACCGATCTATCTGGTGGACCCAGAATGAATAAATAGTCGTATGTTTCCCTGGGGACACCCGGGGAGTGGAGAGAGAGAGGAGCAGGAATGACTTCATCATATTCACATTCACAGTTTTAACCACAGTTTGGTTGTAATTGCTCACACTAAAATACATTATGTGTTATATGTCGTTTTTCTGAGCTAATTTACATTCGATATTTCTTTAGATGGCGTGGCCGATTCTACCACCGGCAGCCGGGTCAAACCACGATCGCCTGCAGGATACACATTAACACGATTACCAACAGATATTGAAGCTTCATGATTTGACAAATCTCTGCCTCATCGTTTTATCAGTATTATGAAAATGATTTAACCGTACAATAGAGAAATCATGTCATGCAAACAATGCTTTTTCAAGCAGAGATGAACTGCTTCAAGGACCATAGCTTCTGTGCATGGGGCGCACCACACGACTAGTCTATCCCCTTCCCCAATATATGGTATAGTTTAGTGTAACTTGGATAAAGGTGTTATGTATTCATGCCGGAGGATTCTTCTCTATTAAGCAGAGAAGTGTTTTCCTACAGTTTGAATTTTTCTGAAACTATGCAAAGAAATTCAAGTCTTTACCGTAACAGAAGCACCAGGGACCTTCACTGTGGTAAACAAACACTTGAACTGCCTCTCATTAACACTCTACACACACTAATTCTATTGGAGCCTGCAGTGTGAAGTGGACAAGGACTGATTGTAGCAATGTACAGCAATATACAGGAACGGACTCAGAACACTGATTAATGATCTCATTTAAAAAAAAACTTCCCCTAACTCAAGTTCAGGTTTCATCTTTTATGCTGAAACACTTGTTTGCTCAATTAAAGGAGGGAAGGACACAACTTGCTAACTCAGTGAATTGAAGGAGACAATTTTGTACATATCTTGAGGCTGTATAAATATTAGCAAAAAATGTGAGTGCAGGTTACAAGGACGAAAGAGAGTTGTTTTTCCTGAGAGTACACTCATGCACACTGCTACTAAATGGTTGTCTGATAGCTTACTGCTAACCTATGAACAGTCGGTGCACTGGTAATGACATCTTTGCTTTTTTTTTTATGTCCAAACACACTTTCTAAGTATGTGAGACGTCTGGGAAGTGATAAGGAACTTTGTTAGTTTTAAATCCAGTCTCTCGAAAGTACTTTTTAATGACATTGCCTGAAGGATTTATAAAGAACGCTTAATCATTTCCAATTATTCTCAAAACAGAAAACTTCCTTTAAAGGTCCATTAAAAATATTGTTGCAGAGCAGATCTTCTTTTATGATCAGTTATTGGGGCAACAAGTTGGTGTGATGTTTAGCAATGTCACCTGTATTCTTCTTTCATGTCTCCCCCCCTTACCTGCATGAGTTCTCTCTGTGTTCTCTAGCCTCCTCTTATAGTCCAATAACATAATTGTTTAATTAATTAGTCACTTTTAATTGCCTGTAGTTGTGAATGTGAGTGTGTGTATGAAGGAAAACTGATTACATTTCGACCATTTCAGTTACCTCTAAATGATGGGGTTCCTCAGGGATTAGTTCTTGGGCCTTTGCAGTTTTCCTCTCATATGCAACCCATTGGCAATGTGCAAGATCAGTAACCATTTTTATGCTCATGCCGTCACTCTCTTTTGAAACTAACAACACTCGCCTCACATTTTCAGACTATTTCTCATTTCGTTAATCAAAAAAAATGCAGTCTCTTTTTGATGCATGTTTGATGGCTTGATGACTCTTAGAGTTGGGCTAATTGAATTGACATTACTCAAACCTAAAGACTTTTTAATGAGTAAAACTGGACTCAAATGATTTGAACTTTCCGTCGACTAAATCTAGACTCAAACTTTAAAAGGTTAATATAACTGAATTGTGACTTATGCTGCGTTTTACCATTTACCTCGGAAGTTGGAAGTCGGAACTGGGAATGGCGTCACACCCGAGATAACTGCGTAATCTCGTAACCGCAAGTCGGAAAAGCAACATGGACGCGTCCAGTTTCGGAGTCGTAATCACGACTTCAGGGGGCGTTCCGGTTGACACTTCTGACTGGGAACTGGGAATTTCCCACTTACGAGATCAACTGAAACGCACCATAAGACCAGTGGTTATCAAATGGTGGGTCGGGACCCAAAAAGTGGCTCACAGAGTATGCTTTCAGTGCGTTGTTTTGTTCAGTTCCTTTGTTCTGTTATCGTCTGAAGTCCAAACTGACACAAGTTTTCATTGAATAAATCGGATTGGTTGAAAAATATCAGAGATTTGGGTAGGGGTTTATCGATGAAGGAGTTAGTGGTTGGTCCTGAGGATCAACCAGTTGAGAACCACTGACTTAGACTATGGCAAAAGCTAAGATAGATGTGATGATAGATAGATGTTTTAGTCATGCTTATTCCTGATTTCACTTTTATTTGAATGACAGAGGTAAAGCATTAAAGCAAGTGAAAAATGCAAAGTGAAAGAGTATGTCTGACTTAATCCACAGAACAGGAATGGTTAATTAGCATCTCGAGTTTACTGGGTTGTAACATGATTGTGTGGATGAATGTAAATAAGTGTGGAGCTATGATGTGCTGCATATTTCCAACAGAGACACAGGAAAGAACACCTCAGGCGTTGAAAAAAGAAGACATTTGAGATGTCAGTCATTCCTGTTTTTAACCTGTGAAACATGACCTTTTTCCTCTTGTGATGTATCTTTTTTTCTTTCACGATGAAGGGGGGCATCAAAGAGCTCTTCACAGGTTTGACAGTTTAATGATACAGTCTTAACAGCTGAAGAGTTCAGTCAGAACAAAGCAGAAGTGTCAGGATGTGTCAGATGGGTGCAACTTCCATCAGCTACAGAAGTGTCACACAAGTGAAATTCTTCTTACAAACAAGAATGAGTGCTTTTACAAAAAATGTGAAGTTTAAATCTCGGCTAGGATAGACCAGGCCCGTTTCTACAGTGTGAAAAAGCATGCATTGCACCCTCATTTTAAATTTATGCACCCTCAACTGAATGGACAGGGGGAAAAGCGACTCAGATCATGTTTATTACATCCGTGATCTGTTGGTCATGACAGGTGCACATGACCTGTTTTTCACCAGGAAACACATGCAGGACCTGTTACACCTATGCTTTTTTTCATTTCTTTTGCCGGTCACTGTCGCTGCACCCCCTTTAATCTCAGATGCACCCTAATTCATTTTATTTTATTATCATTATTTTCTTTAAGATTTCTTTTTGGGCTTTTTGTGCCTTTATTGTAGAGATAGGACAGCGGATAGAGTTGGAAATCAGGGAGAGAGAGAGTGGGGAATGACATGCGAGAAAGAAGCTACAGATGGGATGTGAACCTGGGCCGTCCGCTTGAAACGACAGCCTCCATACACTGCACCACCAGCGCCCCCACCCAAAGTCATTTTGATCTAGAACTGACCTGGGATAGACTTTTGGTTACTTTTTACTTACCATCTGCTATCTCAGGCTGGAGTCAATGGGAACTAATTAGAAAAATCTTTCTGTCTGCGCATATTATCATCAAAATATGGAGCAACAGGTCGGTGGATTTAGACATAATGGATTGGTAAATAGTTTAAGTTGTTGTTAACACTGAAATCAGAATGGTGCCAATAAGAGATGCAACTTGGTAAATGAAGCTCTAGCGTAGGTTTAGTCAGGAAGACTATATATTTGGTTGGTTCTATCTTTCATTCATCCCTCTCATGCACGCTCACTCACATCCCCGCTGTCATTCTCTCACTCTGTCATTTTCTTTGGCTGTCATCGGGTAATCAGCCGATTGGTGCAGGGCGTTCCTCCCTCATTGTCAGCCTATCATCATTCTGCTCCACTTTTAAATATTATTCCTTCTCTGCCTTATGGTGCATTCATGCGGTGTTGGACACATCGGAAAAAAAACCCTATTCCGAGTTGTAAAATGCACATAAACGCCTGCTCAAGTCGGAACAAAAACTCGGACACTCGGTAATGAATTAGGTGCCCGACTTGCTGACTTGATGTCATAATCTTCAACACATGTGGGGCAAAGTATTTTATTTTTAAAGTAAATGTTAAGATACTTTTTAATTAATTCACGTAGGCTATTGCACATCAACTTTTTGCTCTATTATAATCTGTGACCGTTACATTAAACACATCTTCCTCTTAGCATCCACGCTCTTTGTGGTTGTTGTTACAACATTGCGACATTTGGAACTGAAAGCACATGAACACACTGAAGTCAGAATAATGACTTCCTAACTCGGAAACTCGGACCGAAATGTCTCGTGTGCCCCTCCACCTCCTCATCACCGCATGTCTTTGCAGAATCATCATCCATTCATTCTTCACTTAGCCGGTCTCAACAAGTCATCAGCCTCACCACCACCAGGGTCTGGACTCCATGGGGGGGAGGGATTTATTCTGTTGACGCTCAGAAGTGACATTCTTCAAACACGTCAACCACCTCAGTATTTTATTTACCGTCTGGGTGAATGCACATTGATGCATATTGTGTTTAGATGAACCTTTTCTGAAACAAGGACGTCAGGATTTTCTTTGGCCTGATAAACTTTTGTTTTTGTGAATAAAATTAAACTCTTACAAACTCGTAAGTAAGCTCGTATAAACATGCAAATGAAGAGATTTTGCGGATTAGCATCACCTGGTGGAAATGCATGGCTTATTACTCTGTATGTACTCACGCGTGTCTAAATGATTGTTTAGCTTTAGAGTTGAGATAAGTGTTTTTGTCTTGCAGAACTCAAATACAGAAAACCCAAACTGTGTCGGCATCGAGGGCGTCCTGGAGTCTTACTTCCAGAGTCTGCGGACTGTTCAGCTGTACGGCCCAACCAACTTTGCTCCTGTCATCAACCAGGTGGCTCGGTGAGAGATGCACACACACACACACACACAACATATATTTTCACTCTTACATAAGGCCTCTGAATATTTCCATGTGTTCAATATGCATGTGCCGCTTATCATGTACCATCATGGGAAGCCAGCTGTTTATGTATGCATTTCATGAATACAAACAGAAAATATCAGTGCAGGAGACGTGACAGCATATCAAAGAAAATTTCAGTCTGTCAATCATCCCTGGCTTTGAAGAGAAGTCACAGTTTCATGTTTTCTTCAGTAGCAGATTTTTTAATTCTTCTGCTGAGTTTTCTATAAGGCGTTATTTTTTCAATTTTAGTAGGTCTAACAATTGCATTGCCATCCACATTAAACATTTACAAAGACAATGCGTGGCTTACATATATATATATATACACACAGTATATATTGGTTTGATATGACCAGGAAACACATCAATGAACAAGAAAATACAGGAAGGAAAATCTTCTGAGCGCAAGTAAACGTGATTGTGAATGATGCAGAAGTTTATCAAGATTAAAATTAGATTTCAAATATTTAAAGGGAGGTTGTTATTCCTCATGATACACACAACATGGGAACAGTTTTTATTAAATGACACACTGGGGAATCCTTATTTAATGAATTTATAAGTCTGAGCTGTTTTTTGCTTTGGCTACATTGGAAAAAAAACTGCAGCACACAAATATATAAGCATTGTTTGAGTCACAGTCACAGTTCTGGGAAAGCCTTGAGCTCTCACCTTTCTCTTGTTTGATTTACCTTATTCCTTTAGCAGCCATTCAGTCTGCTTGTTCGATCTTTTTGTCATCTAAAAGCATTTATCAGTGTAACTGATGCTCTTCATTCTCCTCCTGCTGAAGCTGGTGGATTGATTACAGTGAAAGGTATTGTTGCATCAGCTGCTTTGTGAACAACGGTATATCTCCTAGGATCTATGGAGCAAAATTATTTTTTTTAAATTTGAATTTTTAAATTCGCAAAAACAAATCGTCCTGACGTCATTGCCTTCATCATTTCATCCCGTCTATCCTCTTTTTCGCTGGACTCACTGGGAGCCGTCCTCTCTGCTGCTTCTGCTAAATCCAGAATCATTTCTTCAAAGAACTCTGCAAGCCTTTTTTTCCTGCACGCTCCATTCAACTGACATGCTAATGCTATTCATGTACAACAGGTCTTCAAGAGTCGCAGGAAGCATAGAGTGTGTCAATAGAGCGACATTTCTATTTATTAAGAGTCTCACATGAAGTCTGTCACTTCAGGTTGTACTCTCCTTCATGCAAAACTGCAAAAAAAAAAACCCTCCGGCAAATGATGCACAAAACGTTTTGGGGAATCTCCCTCCACCGGCTTCACTTATGGGGCTTTCACACTTGCAGAAAACTCCTGAAAATCTCCTGATATTCCCCTGAGGAGCTGTATGTGTGAACGCAAACAGACACATTTTTCACTCGACTTCACCCGGAGTTTCTCCTGACAGACCCCGAGTATTTTTTTGGCAGCAAGTCCGAGTGAGCTGATGTGAGAACACAACAGGATATTCTCTGGAGAATTCACCTCGAGCCAATAGATACTGGAGTCAGTGCATAAACTGTATCCAAGCGTCCGCTACGTTGTCCGTGCACCTAATTAAACGTCTGCGTTACGTTTCCTGTTTGTCAGTGTGGTGTTCTCCACTCTTCTGTTGACATTGTGGTTCCACATAACTACACGTAGAATTGATATAAAGACAAATATTCTAATTATAACATCTTATAGCGGACTCTGATGCATTGTCTGCTATTTCCGCGTCTTTTTTTTTTTACATCATGTCTGACCTCAGGAGACACCCCGCCCCCCCTCCTCCCATCTGACAGGGATAGTCTCCAGCTGTGAGGAACATATGTGAACAGCCAGGTCAGGAGAATCTCTGGAGCGGTCCTCCTGAAATGATCTACAGATAATTTGTGCAAACAGCTATACAGTGTTGTGCCGAAAAGTTAAACCTGGTTGCTTGTGCATTTGTTTTGTGCCAGTTGGATGTAATGTTGACCGACGAGGTAAGTGACAGTTTGGCGAGCCCTTGACCCCTTGTGTGGGCTGATTGATTGACATGTGAAACAGGCCATGGTACTCTGGAAAACTAGAGCCAGTCGGGACATTGTAGGAATTTTGAAGGATGCAGGTTAAGTGATGAAGATTCTGTTCAGTCCTGCACAAAGTGGGACCACCCGGTCACCCCAATGGCTACAGAGAAACAAAACGACAAAAGGAAGGAAATGAGATAGAAATATTACATCATAATTTTATTTTCTTCTCTATGGCTCTTTGAACTCAATCAATTTAACAAATGTTAAGAGTTGTGAATTTGACTTTTTTTTTTTTTTTTTTATGCAAAGAATCAAAGTTTAAGTGCGAGTTCTGACCTTTGGACTCATTTGAAAAGCTATTCAGTTGGCGCTCGTGAAGTGTTCGAGCCCTGTGCGTCACATATTAAGTGCACTTTATTATTTGATGATTGAACAACCGTGCAATCCTCAAGTGAGTGCTTCATATGACATCATAAAGAAGTTAACAAAGATCATCCTCGGAGCTGAACTCTGCATTTTCATCCTACAAGCTCCTTTTTTAAAGCAAATTAAATATCAGCAGTAAAACTTTTTGGAGTGCAGTCAGTGTTAAGTTTTTAATGGATTTTGGCTGCTTATTACCTGCTATTGTATTTATAGCAATAATATCCTGTCCCAGTTAAGTGTGACTGTGGTTGCATAACCAAATGGAGTGAAGCAGTGCTGAAATGTTCAGTTGTGGGCTCAAGAGCTTCCAAACTCTCGTCCTTTCACAGAGAGAAAGTGAAACTTTTTTTTCCTCTCTTCCTGCCCTCTCTCTTCGTCTGTTTGTTTCTCTCGTGTCTCCAGATATTACCTGCTTTGAGATCATCACATATAACGCGTCTCCCAGACTCCATTTTTCCCTTTATGTTTTCAACTTTTTTCTTTCACACCAATTTACTCTACCTTGCTCTTCCTCTACACTTCTGCCTGCTGCTCGTCCCTGTAGTCTCTCTCCTCCTCCTCCTCCTCCTCCTCCTCTTTCCTTGTTGTTTCCCATCTGCTCTCCATGCTTCCACTACTCTAGTTCTTCATTGTTTCGTTACCTCTTAATTAGACTCCCTGTGTGTCATATTATTGTCGTTTTTTATACAGTCTTTATACTTCATGTCCTTGTTTATGTAACACTACTTGTGTTACTATCAAGAGACAATGTCCGAAGCTGAAAAATCACAGAGGGTCTTTAACCTGTAGTTTGTTGAGCAACCACTTGAGGCACGCAACAAATCTCAATACATCCTGAGACATTCTGAATTAGTTTAGTGTATAAATTCTCCTAATTACGAAAAGGTTTTAATCTTTAATCCTAAACATTGTCCAAGAAGTCTGTCTTGGTGAGAAAAATCCTTGTCTTTTTTAACATGTTAGCACCATAAACTGCATATAAACATGCACGAAGTCTAAGTGACGCACACAGATTCTGTGGAAACCCCCAGTAAGCCTGCTGACAGCCGCTTGCAGTCAGATGAGTCACGCCCCCAGTTATGCATAACTTATATCCTTAGTAAAATCAAAACGGCTGAGTCATAAAAAAATAACCCCCAGTTATAATGTGTGCCAATAAAGACATGAGACAAAATTGTTTTTTTGTACCAGGCTGTAAACATTTCTGCTGTCAAGATGGACATTTTATTATGATGGGCTGCCGGGTCTTTGGGTGATTTCTGGAGTCTCATGTGGAGACCCACTGCATTTCAGCATTAGCTTCATTTATTAACACCGCAGGTTGCTGCTTGGTTAGCAATATCTGATTCAGTTTATCTTAATAATGTGAAACATATTATTACATCCTCCATCTGCAGGGCAGTTTCCCCTCACGACATTTCTGTAGCTCTACATTTCATCTTTTATTGTTTATTCTTTTTCAGCGATTTGGAGAAAAAAAAATCACATTTTAAAACTGTCATGGTAAAAAAAAAATGGGTGTTCCATTTAAGAGTTGAGTTGTAACATTCATGCTCCCAAGAGAGCGTCTCCCCTGCCCGGTGACTGACAGCTCTGTGAGCTGGGGAGTGACTCACACTGGACAGGAGAGGAGCAGGTCAAAACAAGCTTCTGCTCATTTAAAAAGTAGTCAAAGCAACTTCTGGAACAAACAGCAGTCTGCCACTGTTTCTCACTTTGAGTCTGCTTTTAAACCAGATGTTCCTGGAGTCTGTAGCTGCAAATAAAAAAATCTTTTTGGTAACATTTTAAACGTACAATGTAGAATGTTATGACAATGTTTACATTAAAATGGTAGCAGAGCGAACTCCTATGATTCCCTGCCATCCTTGATGTCATCTTTTGTTATTGAAGTATTTATTGAGAGCCCCCTGGTGGCGGAATCTACAAATTGTATCTTTAAATTAAGGTTAAAATATTCCCCACTAACTAGTTGCTTATTAGCTTGCTAATTAGTAGTATAGTGGCTGCTTATTAGTTATTATTAAGCGCTTATTAGTACCTTATTCTACATCACCATAGACATAGCTAATAGGTCATTAACTAAGAGTTTTCCCTCCTAAGGGCAGCTTATTGATAGTAAGTTAGGACGTTGTTGAACATAAATCATGATCTTAAAATGCTTTTACTTACTTCTACCAAGTCTAAATGTTCAAAAACACAACCGTCACAGCACAACAGGCAAGTTTAAGCCTCAATTCCCAAACCAAAAGGTGATTAAGGACACAGTCTTTTCATGTAAATGGGCATTTATCCTACGGGCCATACTAATTACTTATTGACATCAATCTTAAATCAATCTTCTAAAATTGTACAACAGTATAAATGGGCCTATACATTTGTTGTTTTATTTCAATGACTCTGTATAAATATCAATGACTCTGTAGCCAAGTAGTGGTTTAAGTTTCACTCCTGGCTCTTCCTGTTGACTTTAATTTGTTCTTTTTTCTGGTGAGTGACGTCAAATGTGTCAATCATTTATTCCTCAATAATCAGTTTTGACAATAGTTCTGTTTTTCAGTGATGCTGTAATGCTGCCAGTGGTCCATGATATCAGTCCTGTTTCCTTTGTTAGCTATAACATTACCACCTTCAGCATTAGTTACAGCTATTCTAACAGCAGTGAGCCTCCATCCTCAGTCAAACCACCTGTTGTGCTGCCTGTGAGCACAAATTCAGACTGATTCTTTTCTCCTTTTTGTCACCAAATTACAAACATTGGAACCCATTTTTTGCGAGCTGCATGTCTACTGAACACTCCCTGATACACAAACAATTCAGACAAACTTGATCAAAAATTGATACGTCTCAGCAACACACACTCAAGGTCTGCAAGCACAGATTCGCTTCTCTTGCAATCGATAGCTCGTCTTCTTTTTTCATAAAAATAAAAAATAAAAAAAACCTCACCAGCTTTTTTCTTTTTCAGTAAAGCTTTGTCCATCCCTCACACATCCATCTGGTGTTGCCGTGGTGCTGATGATGACAAAGGTCGGATCCATGTGTCATCAACATGCCTTAACTTGCAGCTTCCAGAAAGACTACACACATGAAAAGGGCAAAAGGCTCCTGAAAGTTAATTGAACTGACAGGGAAGATGAGTGCAGCGCTTTCAGACATGACATCGCAATTTGTTCCTCACTTTCACTTGTTGACACATTTCGCCATTGTTCTGCAGAGACTGAAAGCGAGAGAGCTGGGGAAGAAGATGTGTGACAAAAGAGAGAGAGAGAGTGGGAGAAATTAAAGAAAATATCAGGGGCAGGTGTTGGAGACAGGCAGGAGGACAGAAAGAGAGAGAGAGAGAGAGAGAGAGAGTGATAGAGTCGACAGGAAGGCCGGCAGAGAAAAGAGAGAGGGAGTGATAGAGTCAACAGGAAGGCCAGCAGAGAAAAGAGAGAGGGAGACAGTTTGCCATTTTGCTTCTCTCCGCCTCGGGCCAGACTGAGAGTGTGTGAGCCAATCAAACAGTGAGTCAGACAGCAGGTCTCCCTTCTCCCTGCTGGGATCCTAGTGTTACCTCTAACACACACACACTTACACACAAGCAGATGTATAACAAAAGTTCTGCATTATACAACACAGATTTATGTGAACTCTTACATGACGAGTCTATGCTGAAGCATTAAGCATCTCTGGCCTGTTGCACCATGCTCTGTAGAAGAACTGTTTAAACTTAAGGTGCAAACTTCAGATTGAACATTACTTTGAAACTATAGTTAGTTTGTGACTTAAAGTCTTTATATGCGTATATACTTAAATATAGTATAAATAAAGTATATCCTCTGAAAATAACTCTGTGAGTCATGACTGTCTACAATGGGTGTAACACCCGAGTCCCACTGTCTGTGATGTTTTCAGAGTTTTCTGAGTTATATCTTCAGTTTGTTTACATCGCCGGGATGGCCGGCTGACTCCTCCCCTCGTGTATAAAAGTTGTTTAATTGAGGGACTAGAGAAAAGAAGAATAACATACTGTACTCACTGCTTAACTGTGTTTCTAGATCACGCTCATTTCAGGTAAATTTACATGCAGTGTGAAGATACCAGCATAATAAAGATCGCTAGCATTAGCATGCTAACACAACAATGCAGCGCGAGTTGTTTTGGTTTCATGCTGGTGCTGAAGGGCGACATCTGCTGGATCAAAAAATTGCATATAAAGCCTTTAAGGGGACGGTCCAGCAGAGCATAAATGACCTCTGTTACAAAACAGTGACATAAAATACTTCTTTTGCATATTTAATTAACTTAAAAAGGCCCTTTTGTTTTTACACGTAAACACTCAACTTCCGCTGCTTGATTTAAGGGTGTAGGGATTGTTTTACGAAATAGTTCAAGATAAAGACCCTAAATCTTAAATGCCTGGCAAAGTGCAAGAACTACCACCACCAACGTCCCTAACTACCACCTGTCGTACCTGACGCCCAACAACCACCATCAGACTGTGTCGTCCCCATAACCACTGCCGGACGCCCAACCACCACCCAAATCCCAAATTCACTAACAGAGGGTTTAAACTGGGAGCCAGTTCCTCCTTCAGATAGTTCCTGACAGTCAAACTCGTTAGATGCAAAGAAAAGCCGTGAGCTGTTTGTATTTCTTCAAACCGATCACATTTAACTTGGACTGTTCGAAGACAAAGAGTGCAACAGAGATGTGCTAACAACATAGAGGAGCTGTGAAGGAATATGTTCTTAGCAAAAAAAGTCTCATAATGGATTAAGGGAGCAACATACTGGCACCATACAGCTCCAGCTAGGACAAACACACAGATGGACACACACACACACACACACACAGACACGCAGACATTCACACTCTGGAGGTTTTAGACTCAGACTGCTGTGTTTCAGTTGACAGCTCAGTTGGTCGTCCAAACACTCGGAGACTTTCCGGTTTCCTCAAGGTTAAAAGCAGCGCATCCCTTCTACTAAGAGTCGTATAGGAAAGAAATAATGTGAGAATATAACACACTTTACACTCTTTGAATCTACTCCTGCTTTTGATCCGTCTGTAAAAAGATCCTCCACTAACACAGACGTATGCAGGCAGCAGAGGAGCATGCAGAGAAAGCTTCATGTTTCTGATTCAGTAGGACAGGAGGCCAGTCAACCAGGGCGACCCGGCCTCTACTGGGACCCGAGCATCCCGATACTCTCTCTGCTCTACTCTTCAAAGGAGAGGAAGAAAAAAAACAAGGTCAAGCTAAATTAATAAAAACTGTAACAGAGAAAGAGAGGCAAGAGGTCGAGGACGGTGGTTTAGTGACGGTCAGCGAACTGATCCCATTTGGTAGAAAAACACAAAAGTGAAGCGTTTTGTGACATCACATGATGTGTGAGTGTTTTGTGTGTTTGACTTTAGGTGCGCTGCAGAAGTGACGGACGGCTCCCAGTACTTTGTGCTGCTGATGATCACGGACGGCGTCATCTCGGACATGGCTCAGACCAAAGAGTCCGTGGTCAATGTGAGTAAAGAGGAAACGACGCTGCACACAAAACACAGATCTGAAAGTCAGAAACACAGGAATGGATTCTACTTTTACATACGATCTCATTTAAACTGTGTACAACATCCAGTCACAGACGCTGTTTATAACCAACAAGTGAGTATCAGACACTCAGAGAGAGAATTCAGCTTTTTTTTTACAAGTTTTAATTGCTGAGTTAGCCAGCATTCATATAATTTTAAGAAAAATCATTTTTAATTACAGCTAGTTTGTTGATGTTCATTTTTAAAAATTGATGGTACACACATCGTCAAAAGGTGTGTCCTTTGCTTCACATACTGTACATGTACATCTTATATAAGCTCAAGAGCATTTACCATTTAACATGTTTGTAAAAGTTCATCCCACAAGGTCGTGAATTGAAATACTTTGGAACGCCGGAAAAATACATTTCAAACACATTCCAGATGATTTAACCCCTGAAATACCGTCCATAAAAATGGCTGCAACATCACATACATTTTTTAAATCCAGAGATTTCTAAATCAGCACGTTTAAATGCAGCTAAAATCATACTTAGTCGAAAGAGCAACACTCCTAGATAATGCACCGTTTGCACTTTTCCAGAGCCTTTCTACTGTTTGCTTCTTATGATGTGATTTTTGTTTGTCTTTACATAATCAGTCTTACCGTCCATCTGTGTGTGCTGTTTGTCTGTGTGTGCTGCAAATGACAGGAGCTGCTAAACTGTTTTTCGTTGTTTTTTGACAATAAAGATATATTCTCTATTCTATTCTAATGCGATTGGGGATTGATTCACTCCTGGATGTTTAGCCTTCATCAACAGACCCAAACTGGCCTGTAGTCGTTCTGCTCATGGTCCATAGTTTTTGAATCACAAGTACCAAAAGTAAAACGTAGAGTACTTAAATAAAGTGTACAGCCCTGTATCAATTTGAGATACAATCAGTTTGCCACTTGATAACTTGTTACCAAGGTTACCCAGAAGAAGGTCCAATAGTGACTTACTGAAAGGGGCATATCACCACCTAGGTTAGCAGTAGTCAGACATACTTCTGTCAATAAATCGATTCTCCTTAGGTGCTTACTGGGACAAGGACAGTTCAACATAAGCATGTAAACAGACTGATGGACTTGTGCTGATCCAAATCTTGGTGTAAAACAACATTTGGTTTGATTTGTGGCTTCAGCCCATGTTTAGAAATTAAAATTAAATGACCAGGAGGGGTTGAAACAGATCCAGGGATCTGGTCCTGTGCTGCGGTGCTCCCCTGAAACTTTAAGTTATAAAGCTGTTAAAAGTAGGGAGAGGTAGAGGCAGTGAGGAGTGTGTATGTTTGAAGAAGAAGACAAATGAAAATGTGGGAGGTATTTACATGAAATAGATCTATAGAATAGAATTAAGGGAAAGCATATGTACAAGTGCTTTTTTTTTTAGGAAAGCGCTATACAAGCTCAAGTCGACCTACCATTTAAAGAAATTAAAAAATTAAAAATCTGTTTAATATTTAAGTTTCCTTCCTTTGTCTAATTGAAGCCATAAAATCCCAGACAAAAGCATACCAGGTCAGACAAACTAACATGTGAAAAATGCTCCATAACCAGCAAAGTGAACTCGTAAACGTTGTACACTCAAAAATGTTTTGCACAGTGTTTGTTTCTGAGTGGGGGAACAGTAGCTCGGCTCACACCCCTCCTGTGTTTTCTCCACAGGCAGCCTCCCTGCCCATGTCTATCATCATAGTAGGAGTAGGCCCTGCTGAGTTCGATGGTAAGTGTGTGTGTGTGTGCGTGCGTGTGTGTGTCTGTGTGTCTGTGTAGGTTTAAAGCTTACATCATCTCTTCTCTTCAGCACAAACAGTCAGTAATAGATTTATTCTATTCTGACACACTGCTAAATTACTTCAAATAAACATGAACATTTCAAAGTGGCCATCTGTTAAATGCCTCTCAAATCTTCCAGCAGCATTAACATGCAAATCATCTCTTTTAACACCCTCATTTACATGCCTGTAATATCGTGTAATGTCATTCAGGATGCACCCCTGTGTTTCAGAATTTTATCAGGGGACTATTGTAAACCACAGACAGAAAATGTCAGACTCAGCTCTGCAAAACACAAAAGACCTGACGGAACAACTCAAGGTCAACACAAGGACGACCACAAAAGATTTCTCTAGATCTCAGAAAAAACTTCCTGACATGCTGCCAGCTGACATACTATTTCTAACTTCCACTCGCAAGACCTCTCCTGTTATCACTGATTTCTTAAAGGCAGTTTTTATTTTTGCACTTATTCTTGTTTCCTTTTTATATTTGTGTAGTTCACCGACCGACCACTAGGTGGATCCTCGGCTTATGCTGTGCACAAAGCCAGGGCTCCACCTTCTGATTTCATGCAGGTGTGTGAATGAAAACATACCGTTTCTTTTACAATGTGACGTTTTCGGGCCCTGGGCCTTCATTAGACATGAACAAGTGAGAAATCACACCGCCAAAACCCCTGAGGTTACCTCATCATAAGGAACACTATACAATAGAAATATAAAGCTTTCATAGTAAAGGATTACAAGACCTATGCGTAGAAGCATTACAATAAATCAGAGTGTCATAATACACAACAAATATACTCAATAGTAAACAAAATATACATGAAACTCCAGCAGGTAAAACCATGATCACCAGTTACAACCTTAGGTTTTTTAGTGACACTCTCTATAGATGAGCAGCTGATGAATACATAGTTGGGTCCTCCCAGCAAGATGGTTTCAGTGGTGTAGTGGTGCCTAAAGAAATGGGTATACTCTTAATTTTTCCCAAAAATGTTTCTTAAAGGCTTTAAATGCGATTTTTCCCACTTGAATATAATAAAAATCAAGTATATCCTCTGAAAATAACTCTGTGAGTCATGACTGTCTACAATGAGTGTAACACCCGAGTCCCACTGTCTGTGATGCTTTCAGAGTTTTCTGAGTTATATCTTCAGTTTGTTTACATCGCCCGGACAGCCGGCTGACTCCTCCCCTCGAGTATAAAAGTAGTTTAATTGAGGGACTAGAGAAAAGAAGAATAACATACTGTACTCACTGCTTAACTGTGTTTCTAGATCACGCTCATTTCAGGTAAATTTACATGCAGTGTGAAGATACGCTAGCATTAGCATGCTAACACAACAATGCACCGCGAGTTGTTTCGGTTTCATGCTGGTGCTCAAGGGCGACATCTGCTGGATCAAAAAAATCACATATAAAGCATTTAAGGGGACGGTCCAGCAGAGAGCATAAATGACCTCTGTTACAAAACAGTGACATAAAAGACTCCTTTTGCATATTTAATGAACTTAAAAAGGCCCTTTTGTTTTTACACGTAAACACTCAACTTCCACTGCTTGATTTAAGGGTGTAGGGATCGTTTTCAAATGAACATAAACCACAAAAGAAGGAAAAATAAGTTTTTTAATCATTTTAACTGGCAAACAGACTACCTGCTGTCGACAACTACATAGTCCCTTTACCATCCAATGGAAAACTAATTGCAGGATGCTACTGAATATTGTGAATCAGAGGGGGATTAGAAGTAGGTAGACTGAAAAACAAGTGGGTATACTCCATATACCTGTGTATAATCTGCACTATACCACTGGATTGTTTGATCTATGCACACTGACACAAGTCTCCAGAGCAGCTCAATGATATTAAAAAAGATCTGCAGTCTTTAAATACATATAGCTATCTGCCTGGCGTTAATTGGCAAATGGTTGGAGTTATATCACCACATGATGAAAGGTAAAGATGGAAATTGTTCTTGCAGAAAGTTAAGACGCCCTCATTGGGACCTATTATTCAGTAGTCGGGGGGTCAGGCTGGGGTTAAGGGTGAACACCTTGAGAGTGAGAAGAAGAGAAATTAAAGCAGAGATGATGGAACTGAGAGAGCATGACGGGAGAGAGAGAGAGAGAGAAGCTGAGTGTAATAATGAGGTAGAGATCAAAAAGGTACATTTGTGGGGAGCTTACATACAGATTCATCTACCCCAGTCATTCATTTAATCAGCGAGTTCTGCGTGGAGAAAGGATCGCTTCACTTGAAGTCTAAAGTACAAGGCAGTTTGGGTAAGCAAAGTGCAAAAGAGCAGAGCTTCAGAGGGTGTGTTCATCATCTCTGATTCTCCTTCTCAGCCAGGAAACCTACCACACATTTAACAGATTCTGTCACTCAACATACTAAACCTCTGTATGTGTGTCTGATTTACTCTCTGTGACGCTTGGAGAGCTTCTAAAGCAGGCTCGATGTTTGCACAAGAGGATAAATCAAGTTCTCTAAAATGTATTCAGCTGCTGTTTTTTTTTTCCGCCCAGGTCTGCTCCCTGGATGAGTGGAGCTCCACACATCACTCACCCCCCAATCAGAGCTGAGCCTCTTTGGAGAGAGTGTCATGTGGGGATCAGATTTTTAAATCTGAATTTATTAACCCATTCTGGTATCTCTTGCTTCAATCCACTATTGCATCAGTGTTATGTTAAAGGGATAGTTTGGTATTTTTGAAGTGGGGTTGCAAAGTACGAGGTACTTGTTGTCAATAATAAGTATAGTGACAGTCGATGTCTGTCAGAAGAGACCGGCTTGGGTGCGTGCGCAGAGGCTATACGGCTATGCAGACAGGGCCGTTTTCCGTGTGTAATTTTACATAAAAGGAGCAATATGTAACTCTGACGCCTAGTGTTTAAAATGGGTACTGCAATCTAAACTCAAAACGTTGTAGAGAGCTGTCTCTCCACGCTCCCTCCTCCAATAGAGTCAATGTGCATGCATGTTGCCATGTCGCGGACACTGAAGCTTCAGTGTTTAGCCAGCTCTGCATCGGTCTTGAAACTTTCTTCGTGCTAATTTCTCACCATTTTTCAAAAGCATCTCCGATATTGATCCTAGTTTCTGCTCGTGGAGCTTATTAGAAACATTCAGAGGCTTTTTAGGTCGGGTACAATCACTTCTATCTGAACCAGGTCGCTTGTTTGCATTAATCGCTGCAACACCTGTTGGTTTGCGGATTGCCTGGCAAACTGAGGGGCGTCCAAAACAGCCGTGTGGGGGGTCGCCTTAAAACCTACTACCTTCTATAGTCAAGACAAATCCAGAGCATTCAGGACCAGAATCTAAAGTTAGAAGGAGGACATACTGGCTACTGCTTTGTTGTCAGAGAAGCCAGCACTTCAACATAGCATGTTTCCTAAATGTCTGCTCATATAGTAAGGTCACTTCATGATTTAAATCAGAAATATCTTACACATTGCTCCTTTAATTTTAAAACTTTGAGCCAAGACACAATGAGGGTGTAAATGTTCACTGTATCAAAACAATTCTGTGTTCCTTTGCTTGTTATTTCCGCTCATCTGCCAAAGAAAACAATTGTGAGATATTTCAAATTGCTACTTCTTTCCAAAGAGACAATACATTTTAATGATGATGCTAATGATCCCTAACTATCACTGCTAATCCAACTAATACGGGTCCATGTCTCAAATTATTCAGGGACTTTATTATCTTTCAGCTCATTTTACCACTCATTTTGTTTTCATGTTTAAGGATCTCCATGTTGCTCCATCTGAACCATGCACTGAACACAATGTCCCTGTATGTGTCAGAGCTGGAGGCTGAAGCATTGAATGTTTGCCTCTGAGATTGCAGGCACAGCGGAGAGTCTATATTGCAATATGTGATTGAGGACAGCAGGAGGTTCACTTTCAGGCTCAGTGTCTCTTCAGACCTCCCCCTAAAATGCCAAGGTTTACAACACACCTGAACCTCCCTTCGATATCTCTTTTCAGCCTCAATTTATTTCTCTTCTGGCCCTTCTCTCCTCCCCTCTCTTCTCCTCTCCCGTCCACACTATCCCCGGTCTATCCCCCCGTCCAATGTTTCAACATTTCCCCTCTCACACAGGCATGTCAAATTATTCCTTTCCCTCTTCTTCTCCTCTTTTCCCCTGCTGCTTCCCAACACCATCTGCCATCCCTGTGCACCATGTGGAGCCTCACCAAGTCCCCCCATCAGCACCCCTCCCTCAGCATCCTTTAAACTCGAGTATGAAGAAGGCTCCTGTGTGCCACAGATTGTCACTTGTGCATCAGGTTTGCTTTGTTGATAAGAAACTATAAATAGACTGATGCAGAACTCTGTTTTTTTTTCCAGTCAGGAACTTTACCCTCCTTCCTGTAGAATATATACGCACTAATGAGGTCGGGTTACCGAGGGGGTTATTGTTTTCTTCACCCCACTAAGGCAACAGCAGGGGACATATGTGGTGCAGAAAGACCTGCAACCTGTCTCTGGTCTGAACTCTGTGTGAGTCCCTGAGGACTGCTGCATGGTTTTAGTCTGCACAACGTTGAAGCTTATGAAATGATGAGCAAAGTCTTCTCATCTTTTATGCTACATAGATTTGTAGAGTATTCCTTCCTTCCTAAAAGAGGACAAGAATAAGAACAGATATGTGCTCTTGTTAAGACAATATACGTTCAAGTAATGTTCGTTATCAATGTTATCTTGAAAGTAGACAAAGAACTTGTGTTGTGTTTTAAACTGAAGTCTGATTTCAGTTGCTGTTTAGAGATTTGGGTTGAAGATAACAATAAAAAGACAAATGAATGCACTTTTAGCGGCTGGGGTTTCTACAGTTATTTCCCCAGTAGTACATAATTAACTTCGATAACTCTGGAAGTGAGAATAACAAAGACCTGTGTGGGCAAACTAGAAATCCACTCAGGCAGTATATCCACAGTTTGAAAACGTACTTAATGAGCAGTGAACAGATTACAGGGACTTGTTTGAGTAACTTTTTGGATGATGCACGACTTACAATAAAGTAAGATTTGTAGATCCTATGTAACCGTAGTGATGCGAGGGAGTGGGTCTCAACTGCGGATCTTCTCCTTGGTTGAATAGATAGATTTAATAGAAGGGAGAGGGGTGGGGGGGGAACCAAAATAGTTACAAGAAGGCTCCCTAAAAAAAACTGGATTAATGGGAAGAACAAAGAAACTCACTACAGCTGAGACAGAAAGGCCCTCCATGCCCGTGTTTACAAAGAAACAAAAAGGATGTAGGAAGGAAACTCCCAGCACCAACAAAGTACACTTGAAGAGCTGCTGGGAATAGTAACAAAGTCAAGTGGTGCTTATGCAGCACACTATCACACACTTCTAAAAGACACAAAGAAACACAAAGAGAACCTCTCTCTATCTCTGGACGGTGAGACAATAAGTCAGCAAAGGCATGACACAACTCAAGGGAATATATAAGCTTCACACACCTGGTCAAAATCAGGCCAATCAGTGTGTCACACACACACACACACACACACACACACACACACACACACACACACACACACACCTGACACTGCACTGATGATTACCTCCCCACACTCAGTGACAGCGAGCAGAACGCTATCTGATTTGGCAAATGTACATATTTCCTGTAAAGCTCCTGTGAGGATTTTTTGTCTGGTCATAAAAAAGACTGAAATTAATTAATACTAATGCCACTGTATGACCTACAAAAGTAAACAAGACCACCAGGAAGAAGATTGATGATTTCTCTATGGCACATTTTTATGCCTGTTATTGATGCTGTGGAGTACGTGTCAGACACAACATGATGCAGAAACATCCCCCTTTTCACATTTCCCACAGTAAAGATTCTCAATAAGGGATACTGTTGAAAGCAGGCTGAGATTATTTGTTAAAAACACAACTTGTAGGAAAAGAAATCAGCAAAGTAAGAGCGGTACCTCCACAGGGGGGCGCCAAAATCAACACACACACACACGAAACGTTCCTCACAGGAGATTTAAACACAAGTTTGGGAACTTTTGGGAAAATTTGAATGGCATCACTGCAGTCAATGAGGGTGAAGATGACAACATTTGTCCATTTTTTACATATGTATTCCTGAACATTTCTAGGAGGACTGCCCCTGAAATCCTCCTGATCTGGTTGTTCACATACGTACCTCACAGCTGTGACGTTCATAGAGCAACACAGAAGTGGCAGACGAAGCAGCAGAGGCCCCCTATACGACGTTTCATCTAATCTGACAGAATCCCAAAAGAGCAGAGAACAGAAAACATTAAGAAGCCGTTTAATTACGTGCACAGTAATTGTACTTGTCGCAGGGAATAAACGTCACCACCCACTCACTCGCTTGAGTTGAAACCTCTGAATATTTCCTGCAGGATTCTCACATCAACTCACTGACAGGCTTTACGGGGAAAAAAATACTGCTTTCGTGCATCATTACTTTGAGAACAACCCCCCCCCAAAGGCTTCCCCACAAATAGCAATGTATCTAATTATTCCATAAAATACATTTCTCCCTAATAGGATTTTGTTGTGTTTGTTTTCTGCAGCTATGGAGGAGCTGGATGGGGATGAGGTCAGAGTTTCCTCCAAAGGACGCTTTGCAGAGAGAGACATCGTCCAGGTGAAGTTTTATTCTGCAGACGTTCTGCCCTTTAAGTCTCACGAGTCACACATTTGATGGTTTATAAGAGTGACCAGTAAAAAAAAAACAATTTTTATATTATATTATATATTATTATTATATTATATAACATATTTGTTTACAGTATCCTCCTGCAACAAATAGACATTTCCGACTCTGAACGTTACACTAAACCAGTTGAGAAGAACTCCACAAATGTTTGTACATCTTAAGTCCTTCTGTGAGAGCGCCGACCTCCATTTGCGGAGTGGCTGAAGCGCAAGAGTTTCCTTCTAGTTTGCATGTGGAGTTTCTCAAAGTCGGACTATAACACACCTTGATAAGACGGTTGGGGGTTGATTTACTCTTGCATGTATACACTTCAATCTGACCCATAATGGCCTAGGCGTTCCGCGCCTTACCCTTTGACCCTGGAGGTCAAAAAGCATAACGCATGAAATATAGCGAAGGTATCAACAGGGCAAATGTGAGAACAATGCAATTTTTGACGAATAAGAAGAAACAGTTCACGTTGTGTCAGCTGAAGGACTTGGACATTTAATTAAATGGATGGAAAATGGCGACTGTGGATTGATTGGTATGCGACTTAATAGGTCAACTGGAAGAAGATCCAATAGTTATTAGATCACATGATATATTGTTATATCACCTGCTGTCGTAGTGGAGTCAGAAAAACAAATGATTTCCCCCCAGGTGCTTCTTTACTTGGACAAGGACAGTCAAGATAAATCGCCCAATCGAGCTATGACCGCATTTCGACTTAACTGTGCACATCCTGATTGAGTCATGCTTTATATTCTGGTCGTAAATATCTTCTTAAACACCCAACACGCTCATATGTCACTCAAACACCATTGCTCTGAATTCGTGCAATCCTTAATCAAATGTAGGTCAACATGGGGTCACTTGCTCTTGCCTGCCAAACAGTGAACACAATAATAACATAAATGCACAAGTTACCCGATGAAGTCACAGATCATCCACACTTCTGTGACTATAGAAGCAGAACTGAATCAAAAAATGTGTGTTCAGTATCAACTGTTGTAGCCATTAGTAGCTGCATACCAAAGTAATGTTCATTTCCTTGTTTTCGTCCTCATCCACTTTTTGTTCCTCTCCTTCAGTTTGTTCCTTTCCGGGATTACATCGACCGGTCGGGAACCAGGTCCTGAGCATGGCCCGGCTGGCTAAAGACGTCCTGGCGGAGATCCCTGACCAGCTGCTGTCCTTCATGAAAAGCCGAGGGATTGAACCCCGACCCCCTCTTCCTGCCACCTCTGACTCCCCCTCAATGTCCTCAACCACCACCACAACGACAACGCCTGCCTCAAAGTAGCGCAACATGCACGACTGAAATGAGGGCAGCCAGTGAAGAGGCTCTGTGTGTGTGTGTGTGTGTGTGTGTGTGTGTGTGTGTGTGTGTGTGTGTGTGTGTGTGTGTGTGTGTGTGTGTGTGTGTGTGTGTGTGTGTGTGTGTGTGTGTGTGTGTGTGTGTGTCGGTTTCAGGGCTGTTTGAGATGAACAGGATTATGGAGATAGTAATAGACATCACCAGGAGAGAAAACATCCCCCTTAAGAATGCGGGGACATTAAGATCTGGATCCAAAATGACTCTTTTTATCCATTTAAAATGAGCGGCGCTGACTTCTGTCAGCATCTCTCATTATCCACCTTCTGCCGGTGCAACACACAACTCTGTAATAAATCCCCTTAAAATGTATTTCAACAATCTAAACGAGTAACAAAAGTCGCTTCAGACTTTCTTGCCAACAGAATTTCTCCTGCAGGAGTCTCACTATTTTCACATCCTGAAAATATCTAGATCATTTCAGGAGGACTGCTCCGGAGATTCTCCTGACCTGGCTGTTCACATATGAACCTCACAGCGGGATAGAGACTATCCCTGTCAGACAGGAGGGGGGAGGGCCGGGGGGGGGGACTCCTGAGGTAAGAAAAGACGTAATAAAAAGAGACATAACAACATAGTCTGCTATACGACGCTATAATGACAATATTTGCCTTTAAGTCAATGCTTAAAGTGTGGTTCGGCGTTCGCCCATTGGCTCGAGGTGATTTCTCCTGTGTTCTAACATCTGCTAATTGGACTTTCTGTGAGGGGTCTGGCAGGAGAAACTCTGTTTGCGCTTAAACATACAGCTCCTCCTGGAAATATATGCAGTTTTTCAGGAGTTCTCTGCGAGTGTGAAAGCCCTATATGACTGCTCCAGTTCACAGTGAGAAGAGTGTCTGATGTATTAGAGTAATAAATCCTGAAGTAGCCAGGCAGTTCATTTCTACCATAGTTTTAAGAAAGACGGCACTGAGGCGGACGTCCTTTTTCTTGTTTGTGTAATCTCAGGGCATTTTGAAGGCTTGACAGCAGCACAGGAAGTCTAAAACAGAAAAGCGGGAATAAGAACCTGTCCTGGTTGTGCACACCTATGAGCCAACGGACCGGTTATTGCTTCATGAAAATGTATGTTGTACTTCACCGTATACTGATCATGAAATTCTAATATTTTTGTTCTATGTGAATGGGAGGTAAACGCTCTGGATTTCAGGGCCAACCTTCAGAGATGGAGCATCTGCGAGTCCAAACCAATCCCACTTGGACACAAAGGGAGGCTCAATTGCGAGCACCCCCCTGGATGCAGGATATATCAGGGCATGAAATTGGCTCGGGATGGAGAGCAGACCCTCCTCTGCAGCTTGTCCATTTCCTCCAGCCACAGTACAATTTAACCATATCAGGAGGATTGCAATTTCAGCCCTGAATGTGTAATGTATGTGTGGTTTTCTGCCCCCCCCCCCCTTCCTCTAAATTGTAAATCCTGTCATTTGGGATGAAGTGGGGGCCTCTGGTTGTCAAGCTGCCTTGTGCATGCACCTTTTTAGAATAAAAAGAGGTGGTCAGTGCACATTACACACGTCAGAATACTTTATATGTAGCATAATGCGTGAAAGCGTTGAAGGTCACTTTTACTTTTCTTCTTCTTCTCTCTACTTTGGACACCAAGAAAAAGAGTGAAAATGAGAATAAGGGTTTGGTGTTTAGTGCTGCTGTGAAAGTCACTCTGACTAGTTTTCAGGGAGTTACTTTTGGAAATGTATGCACAGCGTTCCCTCACCACTTCTGGGGTTTGACATATGGCTGCGTTTTCCCCGTGGCTGTCAGTCAGGGCCCATCAGCTCGTGTATAAACAAGCTGATTTGCAATTAATTTTTCCATTTTTTGTCCATCTTTTGTGATTTTATTTGCTCTGCCTTCTGTGTGTGCATGAAGGATACGCACATTAGGGAGCTAGTACTTGTGTATAAACTCTTCTTTTTTTTATCAAACAGGCCTTTCTATCATTTACAAAAAGCCCTGAGGAGAAAGTGAGAAAAAAACATTTAAAATTTTTGTCTAATCCAAAATATTTTCTCTCTAGGTTTATGACTGTGGTTCAGTGAAAAACATTTTACCAACATGAAATCTAATAATAAGTCCCTTATCATTTATTTATTTGTTGTTTTATGTGTAAAGAAGCACAGGAAAAAAAGCTTGAGATAACTAGGTTTCACAATAATACCCTATTTAGCTCGTTATTTAGAGATTAAACACCAGTTGAAGATATATTGAGAGATGAATTGTTTGTGCTGGCTGCACCGACGACCTCAGATTCAGAGCGATTCTCACCGCAATGTAACTTCCACTACCCCTCGAGTGACCGTTAGACATGTTTAAAAAAGCTCTGTATGCTTAATATTGTTTTTAATTTGGGAAATTACCAACAAGAAAACATGAAAACCATTTCAATATCCTGGCATTGGAAATAGCTCCAGCCTTAGAAACCCTCAGAGAGACAAGTAAGACACTGCCATTGTTGTTGACACAGCTGATACCAGAAGTCTTGCCTGTTCTTGATTCTGATTGGTCGTGACACAGAAGTGACATTGAAGAGTAAATTAGTAACCTAAAAAGAGACCCGAGACAAACCCATTGGAACTTATTTCCCCTTCGTTTGTTTTACAGCTAAAACGGTGACACAATCAGAGCAGGTGTCCAGTAGATGTCGCACTTTAGCACAAGCCTCTCAAACCAAGACAAAGCTGTTCCTTCAGCGCGTCACTTCCCCTCCTCCTCCCCCACCCACCCCTCCCTTAGAGTTCCGACCAATGCAGACGTTTCTTTGACTGATCGCCATTCTGATACGCAGCAGTTCTTATTTCTTTGAAGTATTTTGTACCAAAAACAAAATCTTATCTTCAGTTTTGAAAATCTGTTGCTTCTCCTTGAATTGTACTCTAGCTACAAAACTCCGCCCCTTTTGTGCCTCTAGTAGCAGCGTCCCGGAGTGGGCGGGGTTGTCTCTCTTCCCCAACGTTGGTGGCAGAGCTAACGGTCAGTCAAGGAGGAGTTCACGTTTGCGCCTCTGAGTGACACAAAGCCCCACCCCATGAACACAGAGCTCAGAACAACAAGTCCAGAGGGAGTTTGACTTCACTATTTTTTAGAGAGCATGATGACTCATAATAAATATTACAGAGGACATCTTTGATATCTGCTTTATGCATGACATTTCTGATATTAAGAAGACAATAAGAATCTTGTACATTTATATATAGAGATACAAAAACAAATGATTCCACCTAGAAAATGTTTTTTGTTTTTTTTCTCACTTGCCTCTCAGGGCTTCCGTACTTTTCCTTTATAAATAGAAACAGTGCAGTTCGATCAAAACTTTTTGTCCCTGACATTTGGTGTGTGTTGTCGGCTAAATGGAGAAATAAGAAGATTGTTTCAACCTCACTGCATCATCTGGATTATCGAGCATGTGTCACATTGTATCAGAAGGTAAATGGATATGTGGCCTTATTTCTGTCATAATCCTGCAAAGTGTGTATGAGGGAGGACTCTATTTTTATATGATTACACTGAAAATCGACGTTATTTTGCATGCTTATTTGGCTGATACGCTGCCAATGATTGTACTCTGTATCTTTATTCATATCTGAAAATGACTTCAAACGACATTCCTATACGTGTGTTGACTCGTGTTACTGTGCAGGAGTGTTCTTTTCTCTTTCTACTGTTATCGTGTACAGTATACTTGAAGCGACTGCCAACGTTATAATCCAAAACATATAGGAGATATGAATAGTAGGATAGATTTGTATCACGGTATTTAAAAACATGCATGCAAGCGTGTGTGTAATGATCAACGAGAACACTAACCCAAAGTCACATAACCTATTGGATATTTTTGTATGAGCATGTTGAGCTTTCTATACATCGTGTACAGTATTAGTTAATGACACTGACAAACAGCATCCTGCTCACATCCCCCCCCCCGTCCAGTGTGTTGTGTACAGCCTGTATGCAGGAAAAAGTGTAAATATATGTAAAGTGATGTACAGGACACTTTGTAAACAGTCTTCCTTTCTTCCATTTTGTTGCTCTCTGATTTGTCTCTCCATTATTTTTATTTTGTCTCCATTCGTGTCGGTCTTTAAATCAGTTTTAGGTTTGTCAGTGTTTTCTAGCTTTTTGCTTAGAAACCAAATAAAGCTATTCTCTAAGGCTCATCTCCAGTCTATAGAAGTGTGATTTGTTGATGATTTAACACAAATGAAGATGATGTCCAGCAATATCTTTCTTCTTCAGCCCTAATTGCTGATGATCAAATAATTCTGGTAATAATATGATGAATTTTAAGCTTTTTATTTAGTTATCCTTTAATGGAAAAAAGGCTGGAATATTCATTCATCGATTTCTTTATGTGTTCTGACGTGAACTCGTACCTCTGTTTGAATAACTACACTACTGGCCTATCATATGTTTTCTAAAAAGTTTTAATTATGAATGCTTTGCTTCTTAAGTCCTAAATATGGTAACATAGAATTTATCTATTGACAGTTTGGCCATGAATTATATTTCGAGTCTTCCAGTCTACATATACTGTAAGTGATATCAGAGCCAATACTTCCTCACCCAGATGTACATTAATCATTACAGTCAGTCTGCAACTTGAGTTTTTACAGCATCATGCACAAAGACGAGATGCATGAGAACATAAACAATAGAAATATGACTACAGTTGTGTTCGATTACATTTGTGTTCTTTGCAAGAAATAAGTAATATAATAATTGTAATAGTTTCTGTAAATTTATTTTACGAGGCATTATGAAATGCATTTGAAATAACAATATAATGTAAGTAAAGCACACTTTAATAATGTGTAAAAACTCACTGGGTCACTGGGTTGTAAAAGTAGCTTACATTGACGTGAATTATGTGCTCATAGTTTATTAGATTCAGAACTTCTATTTGCATTTGAGTTTAAAATGATAAATGTTGGTATAGGCTTATACATTCTGATTAAAGCTATATATATTTACCCCTTTTGTTAAATTTTAAGTAGCCTGATTATGATTGTCTATGCCTTTTTGCCAATTCAT